ACCTGAAGAAAGCAGCACACAACAGGAAAAATCCCCTTCTACACATTCATCGATGCCAGACCTGGAACCTTCTTATAGCACTGACCAATCAAGAGAAGAGGTGCCTTTGCTAATCTTCCCAAATAGCCCACTCGCCCAGCCTTATTCCTCTTTGCGGAGTACTATGGATTCAACAGCAAGACCTGTGACGGAACTGATTGAAGATCCAACAGGCCACATAAATCAAGTAGCCCAAAAGACCAGTAGCAGACCACAGAGAGCCCAAACTTCTGACGAGATAGATGGACCACACCGGGTGGCCCACCAAACTCTTTTGGAAAAGGGGCCGCCCCTGCTCAAGGTCCTACTCCTAGTAGATCGAGTGGCCAAGTTCAACAGACAGACAACCTTGTAAATCCTCCCACTCAGCTTTTACGAGAGGTTTTTCATCAGAGGAAGATAACTGATTTTTTTATTGGCTCCCCTCTTCCCGTATTAAAGTTGAGCCAACCTTCCGAATGACAGTCAATTGGAGGAACGAGGAAACCCCAGCCTTCAATATTAAGTTGGAACATTGCTGGATGGACAAGTAGAGAATCAGATCCAGAATTCCAAAAATATATTAATTCCTTTTTATCATACTATTACAAGAAACTTGGGTGGAGGAGGAAATTGAGTTAAATGGCTTTGAGTTTATATGTCTGCCTGCTAGCCCGTCAACGAATGGTGGCCGCCCTAAAGGTGGCCTTACAATTGGTATCTCCCTTAAACTTCGGGCTAAACTTTCACTAGTGCACGCATTTCCGCCTTATGCTATTACCGGACTGATCTCTGGTGGAAACTTCTCTTTATTGGTTACAAATGTCTATTTCCCCCCGGGAGGGTTAGCAGCTGATCTTATTTCTAGATGGGAATCCCTAGAGGATTTTTACTTTCTTGTTATCTTAAATATCCTAATGTCCCCTCCATTACCGGAGGCGATTTTAACGCTCGGATAGCCTCAAATCGGGAGGCTCTTATAAAGTCTAAATGGTGGGTCGACCCCGGCGCTCAAACCTACGATCTAGTATATATCCCCACTAGAATATCAAAGGATGTAAAAGTCAATAAGGCGGGAGTGATGCTTTACCAGATGGCTTTACGCCTTAATTTAATTATATTAAATGGCAGGTGTCCTCCAGATATACCAGGAGAGTTCACCCATCTGGGGTTAAAATCAAACAGTGTTCTTGACTATGTATTGGTTTCCCGGGATCTATTTTTGAATGTCACCTCTTTTAAAATTGATAATGCCCAATTTAGTGACCATCTTCCCCTGACAACCAAGTTATGTGTTGACTGGCACCTGCTCGAGCGCTCCCACCCAATCCCGGTGATTGCGGAGCCGTCCACTAAAATAAAGGGGATTAGATGGTCCCCTGCCCTCGCCCATAGATATACGGATTTTATCCGAGAAAAGTTTCTTGGTGATCAGCCGGACGTAGGAATAGTCCCGCGTGATCCTATTACCTGTATGAATTTTTTCTCTTGCCTGATAGAAGTTTTAACTCGCTTTTTTACTTCTCCAAGCTATGGAGTTAAAAACGATTATTTTAAATTTGGCGCCCCTTGGTTCAACTCTGCTTGTAAACTAGCCAGACTCCATCTACATACAATATATAATGACTATAAACTTTCCGGCGCTCTGGCCTTACCTCCATCTTATTCCCTGGCTAAAAAGCATACAAACAGGCCCAGAAATCGGCCAAACGGGAATGGCATTTAAATCGCTGGCAGACTATAATTTCTGCCTCAAAATCTCATAACTCCCGGAAATTTTGGTCCTTAATTAAGGGAAGAAACACGAAATACCCCTTAACGGTGATCCCGGCCCCTACATGGGAGCAGTTCCTGAGAAAATATTTCTCAGTGGCAGAAGCTCCGGCCACTCACTGGAGACCTTCTAATCCCCTTCCCGTCTGGCACAATACCGACCCTGCTGAAATCCTAGAATTGATAGCTGAGCTGAAAACTGGTAAGGCCCCTGGGCCAGATTTGGTCCCTGTTGAGGCTATAAAGCTACATTCTGCATGGTGGGCAGGGATTTTAGCTAAAACGTTTGACGCAATAAATGCCACGGGCTTAATACCAGGTACGTGGAAGGAGGCCATTATAATTCCTATCTACAAAAAAGGCCCTCCCGGTGACCCAGGGAATTACCGGAATATCAGTCTGCTATCGTCCATTGGGAAAATATATGCCCGTTTTGCTGGCAAGGCTGATGAAGTGGTCAGCTGAGGCTGACCTGATTGGGCATGAGCAAGCCGGATTTAGATTAAATCGATCCACAACAGATCAGGCAATTATTCTTTATCACTTAGCCCGGAAATACTCGACACCTCGACGGGGCCAACTTTGCGCAGCCTTCATAGATTTGAAAGCTGCGTTTGATAGTATTCCGAGGCAATTACTATGGGATAAACTTGCCTGCTGGGGAATAGATAGAAGGCTCCTGTGGCTTATCTCCCAACTTCATGCCGGATCCGTGGCCAGGGTAAGAATATCCCCTGCTGGAGACCTAACTAACCCAGTGCCAGTAAATAAGGGTGTACGCCAGGGTTGTATTTTAGCGCCTCTTCTTTTTAACTTATTTATCAGTGATATGAGGAACCCATTAATCGACTCACAAAAATTTATCCACACCCCCCGTATAGCAGATTATCGTTGTCCTTTACTTCTCTACGCAGATGATGCGGTACTACTCTCTTACTCCAGAGTGGGTTTAAGGAGGGCACTAAAGATTTTTGCATCATATTGCCGTTCTAATCATCTGTCTATCAACCACACCAAGTCCAAAGTACTGATATTTTCAAGGAGTCGAAAACTATATTCATGGAAATTGGAGGGCACGAAAATCGAACAAGTACACAAATTTAAATATTTAGGAATTTATTTTCAATATAATCTAGGGTGGAAAGCGCACGTTGAATATCTTCAAAACAAGACAAAAGCCCTATCACACTCCCTCCTCCGTTTTTTCTACTCTGAGGGGGCCTTATTCATCCCTGCGGCCTTGAAAGTGTATAGCATTAAAGTGATGGCCACAATGGCCTATGCTGCACCTTTATGGGCTGCTTTTGCAAACCTCTCACCTTTAGAGTCGCTTCAAAGCCAATTCTTACGCCGACTTCTAAAACTACCAACATGCGTAAGTAATGCGGCTATTCGCTTAGAAATGAAGATCCCTCAGTGGAGTTAGTTTTATGGAGGAGAGTTTTGATTTATTGGATATCCCTATGGCATAAACTACCGAACCATTATCTCATTCAATGCATGTGGCGGGATGACTTCACAAATTTGTGGTCAGGAAAAATCCATGCCAAATTGCTGTCCTATGAGATCTCGCCCACGGAATTGCTCAAACTGGATCTAAACGCGGCAAAAAGGTGTATAAATCAAAGGCTGGATGATGTGGAGCTATACCAAAATTTCTTAGCTGGTGGTGGAGCCTGCTCCCCGCTAAATCTCGGCATAACCCCTATCTATCGTGCTCCGTCCTACTTAACATCGCTTATAGCCGCATCTCACCGATATGCCTTCATTAGAGCCAGGTTCAATGTTTTTCCAACAAACGTGCTGAGACATAGATTCACTAAGGGCCAAGTCCCTTCAATGTGTGCTTGCGAAATGAAAACATCTGAATCTTTACATCATGTTATGTTTATCTGCCCTATGTACAGTTCAGCTCGCGCTAGTATACTAAACTCCATAATCCAGCCTATGGCTGACAAACCAGTAGACCTACAGCTTGCCTGGGTTCTTCAAGATGCAGATCCTTATATTACTTCTACAGGTTGCTAAATTCCTAACAGCCGTTCTCTCGTACAAGAGACGGAATGGAATGTTAGCTGATTATTGATAGTTATAAGAATTTTTGATATTGACATCAGATATTGATTTTAGCGTAGTGCCTAAATTTTTAACTTTAATCTTAAATTTCTGTTTTGATTTGCCAATATTTGTCCTTGTGAGCTGTGAATTGTGTTATATTACTTGTGGCTTGTACGAGACCGCTGTTTTATTTGATTTGTTTTGTGTGTTGTGCTTTATGATGGGCGTAAAGCCGAATAAACATTTTGATTTGATTTGATTTGAAAAAAAGACAGTCTAACTGAAACATTATGCTGTACAAAGTTACAAACAAGATGATTTACTTCGGTGTTTATTGATCCCATGGCCCTCAAGCATTTGTCCAGCAGCAAAACCAAGAAGAGAAAGGATATAAAATAGTTCTTTTAGAAAGATGAACCCCACCCCCATCCCCTCCTCTAAGGAAGTTTACTGTGAAGGAAGTCTTGGGTCTGTGGCCACGCTGTGGCCACGAATACCCCACCCAGAGAGGCCTTGCCAAGCCATTTCATTACTATTTGTCAAAAGATGACTTGCCTATTGTGCCTTTGGAAATGGTCAGTGGCATTTGGCATTCTGTTACATAATATGATGCTTACAGTGTTGAATACATACATTATAAGCAACCATTACAATAATCCTGGAAGATAAATCACTATTCTTATCCCACGTGGTGGTGTTGAGGCCAAGGGGCAGAATGACTTGCTAGGTCTACCTAACGTTCATATCTAAGATGAGATTTGAACAGGGTGTCACTCCAGATTACAGCTTGCACTCTAACCTTCCTTTGCTAAACCAGTAGTAGACAGCAGTCTCATGGTTTCACTGCCAAACAGCTAACACAGTTTCAATGTTTTAGGATTGACTGTTGCCTGTTAATGTTTATTAACTTATCTAAGTACACTTATATCCTGCATCTCTTCCATAATGGAGCTCAAGGCAGCGCTTGTGAGATTCTCAGATGATCTCTCATCCAGGCACTGATCAGACCCAGACATTGTGTTTTAATATACATGTTAAATATATTATTTATATGGCTACCAAGTCTGTTATTTCAATGTATACAAGAAAGCTAATACAGTACTATGAATACAAAGTGACGGACAAGACAATGCAAATAAAGAGTAATGCTGTCAGTAACTAACCTGCTTGCTGAGTCTCTCCCATTGTGACTGGACATCTGTCAGCTTAGATTTCACCCAGGCATTAACTGGCTGGCCTCTTAAAGCAGAGTCTATTTCTTTCATCTCCTTTAAGGACAACTCAGTCTTCTCCATTTCAGTAACAAACAGCTGATCACAAGAGAGAAAACACTTTAATAACCACTTTTCAGGATGCAGGCAGAAATGTCCATTTCCCAAGGCACTGTGCAAATATTTCTGATTCTATTTTTTATAACTCCTAAATTACTCCACATGCAAAATTATTTTAAAATAAATATCCAGTTGCATACTTTCATCTGAATCTGAAAATGGATCCAATCCAGAGAGCTTCTTCAGGTGTGTGAGGGTTTGTATTCAACTACAGGGAATTCTTTTCTCTGAATAGCTTTGAGCAGCTGCTGCCCACACACAAATATTACATTACAAATGGCTTGTGAAAATCTCAACTTGCAAAGAAAATGTGTGTCATATATTATGATGGGCTGTTGATGTCATGGAGTTTCCTGAGCAGTTATCTGGATTTTGGCCATTGTCTCTTTCTATTCAGGAATGGTCTCACAGTCAAGACTCAAAAGCGTATCAAGGGTACTCTGGCTCTGTCCCCACTACCTATAGTGATAAATTCAGTCAACTAAAAATCTTACAGCTACTAGGCTGGTTAATGTACAAAGAACTGTGCAACAGTTCCTGTGCCCAAAAGAGGCTTCTTTGATCTTATGCTTCTTGCATAGCAGACCTGTATGCCAGATGGCAACCCACTTTTGGAAGCAAGTAAACTCTAAATAAGCTTGGAATATGTGGGTCTGGTCTTCTATTCAAAAGGAGGATATGATCAAATATCATGACAGGCACACCCAAGCACACAGGTAAGGCAGATTTTTGGAAGCCAGTTATAATGGCTGCAATCATATACTATGGAGGGTACTAACCTCACACTTCGATTTAACCGTACTGAAACACCTGTATATTTTAGGGAAAGTGTGTCCGCACTTTTGTGTTTTTGAATGCATGGCACAATTCAAATGATCTCAGTACAATTGCACTTTTCTCCCAATCCCCCTATGACCAATGTTGTTTTTATTTTGTTTTATTCCAACAGCATCTCCACATGGGCAAAGCTCCAGCTAATTTATAGGCTACTCTGAAGACTTCATCATCAGATCTTGCAGGATTACACACTACCTATCTCTCTGTTAGAAATCTTCATTTAAAAAAAGAAGTGAGACAGTTCTAGTATTCCTATCTATATTGTAATACTGAACAGGCTGTCAAATTTTTAAAACAAGGTTCCACAACTGCATTTTAGTACCATGGTATCAGGGAACAAAGGAATGCAAAACACACTTTTGTGTTGCTTAATCCTTTTTTTGAGAGAGAGAGGTTTTTATGAAATGCACTATATAATGCTTTGAAGTAGCCAAAGAATAATAGAGGTAAATAAGCAACTCTGTTCTACATTAGCAGGGCTTACCATGCATTGATCAAGCTGTCTCTGAAGGCCTTCAGGATCCCTTTGGATCGCTTGCTCTTTCATTAAGAAGTCTTTTACACCATCCAGCCACTTCTGAACCAGTTTTGAATCCGTCTGAACAGAACATAAGAAAGTTAAGAAATGTAATTAACTGTTTTAACCTATTTGTCTTCCAGATTGGAAAACCCCAAATACAATAGTAATCCCCACTTGCTTATTTTTTTCCCCATTGTCAGGCTCATGTAAAGATTTGCTAACCAAAAACCCAATTATAGACTAACTAATAATCCAAATTCTGGACAAATGGCACCAACACTGGAGGAAGAGAAATAAAAACACACAAAGAAGCCTGGTGGATCAGACCATCCTTTTCTCATAGTGACCAACCAGATGCCTATGAAAGTCCACAAGCAGGACCTGAGAGCAACACTGCTCCCCCCCAATCTGTGATTTCAAGCAACTGGCACTCAGAAGCATACTGACTGCGTTAAGTGGGGGTAAAACATAGCAGCTCACTCAAATCTTCTGTACCAGCATAGAACATGGGTTTGAAGGGTTTGAGGCATTTTGAAAACAGAGCAATAAGCAACTGGCTTGTGAGATAAAAGCATAATTTCATACTGTCTGTAAAATCTGAGTTGTAAACATAGCTCCTTCTGGCATGAACACAGACTTTGCTTGCAGAAGCACAAAATTGGTAGATTGCTTCCTCCCCCTTCTGTCAGCAGGATCCTTCACTGAATCAAAAACCTTCCATTGACAGAAGGAGCCCTTTTGTTCACAGGAGATGAAATTAGGATCCAACCCAATAATTACATTTCACTACAACTGCCAACAGCAGCAATAATGCACTATTAATGGAATGGTGCTTAGAGAACTACAACAAAAAAGAGAACTCACTGCCCCAAGAGCCTAACACTTCACACAAAAGATGAGCTTTGAAATTTCAGTGATATGAAAGAGGCATGGTGTCATGGTATTCTTATAAGGAGTTCCAGAGAAGGGAGACATGACAAAGTAATTTTAGTGCAGGGTGGTCGAACAGACAGCCCAAGAGCTGCATGTGGCCCTTGAGGCCCCTTTTTGGCGGCCCTCAGCAACATTTCATGCACTGTTGGCACTGGGCTTTGAGAAAGAGGTGTGAGGACAGGGTCCTAGAGTCCTCCTGCCTCCTTCCCAAAACCGAGTTAGCATTTTCCCAGCTTTGGGAAGGAGGTGGGAGAACTCTAGGACTCTGACAGAACCTTGTGCCTCCTTCCCAAAGCCAGGTACCTCACCTATCCAGCTTTGGGAGGACAGCACCAGGTCTGGGGGCTGTCAAATTTTGACCTTGCCTTCCCCCTCCTACAAGACAAGACACTGTGGAGCCCACGGGTTCAATGTCAAATTACTCTTGCAGCCCACTTGGTATGGAAATACAAGTGGGCACAAAAGGAAGCAGAGAGGTTGGTACCAAAGAAAATAGAGACGGCAGGGACTCTGACCAGAATATAGACATTTGGATAGGTGATGCCACTGTGAATGGATATATAAGAAAAGGAGGGATAGGTTCAATATGTCTGAGACCAAACATGAGTTTAATGAAGAACTCAAGGAGAAATGCATATGCACAAATGGGGATACAGGACTGGATAAAGATGGAAGCTCTAAGGTAGAGAGCTGGGCAGCATCATATAGGAAATACTGAAATCCATGTGATTTGAGGTGACCACAGAAACCAAGAATGCAGGGAAACAGAAGAGCAGGGGACTCCAAACATCCCTGAGGGTCTACAAGGGAGAAAGTTAAGAGAGAGCAAATCCCTGAAAGAGTAGGAAAAGGAACAGTTGAGAGCAGGTACAGGTTTAGGTTGTGAAGGGAATAAAGTAGAAAAGATAGTCAATTGTATCAAAAGACAACAAAGAAGTCAAGAAGGATGTGAACAGGCTAGAGAGCCTTGAATTCAGCAGAGTTGGGTTGGGAATTAAATTCTGTTCTATTTTAGATCAACTATATGATCAGCCTCAGTGGTTTTAGAAATATCTCTACCAGAATTCAGTTATGCTTCTCATTTTTATTCTTTGCTGATTGTGCATATATATTGCCATCTTAAAGGATACTTGTTCTAGGTATTCATCAAAGTACCTATTGTGCTCTGCATCTTGATACAGAGGGATAATTTATGTCCAGATTCTTGGCATTTTTTGTTCTACCTCCAGCTTCTGGCATTTTTTCAGCTGACTTGATTTGCTTGTGAAGAAAAGTTTCCAAAACAGGGAGCACACACAGTAGTTCCAAGGATATTCACTACAGGCCAATAGAGATACACTCTAGCCTGTAGAACTGAGCAGTAAATATTCTTCAGCCAAAATACTATTTATATATTGGCTAACATTGACAAGGCATTTTATGTACCTAAAGCAGACATCTTATGGCCAAGGATTTCTCATGATCCCTTTGATGATTTTCCCTCCTGACTTCTAGCTGCCACATCTCCACTGTCATTATCCCTCCTCTCCACCATAGTGAGCCCAACCTTCTCCTTTAGCTCCAACAGAGTTGCTATGTCCCTCTGTCCCCCAGCCTGCAAAAATGATTTCTTGCCCCATCTGCACCTATAAATACCATCAGATATCTATGGAGCAACTTGCCTTTAGTCTCCCAAAACAATGGTGGTGCTGATGCTGGGTTCCCCTGCCCACAGTGGGTCGCTCTGACAGGCCAGTCACTGTTCAAATCATTTGATGTCATTATCATTTGCACCAGTGATTCTTGATGAGGTTTTAGTGGACCTGAATTCTGAGTCTATCAGTTGATCTGTGCAGACTTTGAGCCCTACTTTTGGCAGGGGTCATCTGTGTGAGGAAGCTCTATTGAGAACTCCCTAGTGCAGCAAATTCCAGCAGGCTTGAAGTAGCATCTGTTAGAACATCAAGCTCTGATTTCAGCAGGGGTTGGCTGTGCAAGAGAGTTTTCAATGTATAGCTCTGCTCCAATGTCATCCCAGTGGGCTTGGCTGGTTGGCAGTCAACCTCCCTTGACAAGGAACAATCAAGAGTATGCTGGCAGGCACATCTCTGTCTGCCCCACACTTGATGTCAGATATGACATGAGGAGTGGGAGAGGCGGGCATGATTTTGAGGAAGCGGCCTTGCAGACCAAACTGGGATCTGTGCCAGGCCTAATCAGGCCTGTGTGCCAGAGGTTCTCCATGTCCATCATAAAACATGCCACTTCCTTTTGCTGTCCTGACATTCCTCAATTTTTGCTTCTGGCCCCATGCAACTTGTCTTCCATCTCCCTCACCAAAACCACTATTTTCTCATTACAAAACCTAAAGGTACTGATTTCATTCCTTCCCCCCAACCTTTTACTTTGTTTAATACATTAGATCCTTCTTTTGATACTCATCTATTTGTATACTTTCCATATCCACTGACATCACCAACATCCACCCAGCTGACCAGGCACAAAGCTTTGGCTTTATCTGATTCCTCCCTGCCCATTGCTTTGCACATTCAGTCTGTTGCCAAGCATTGCTCTAATGAGTGAACAATGTGAAAATGCAGCCCTTCCTTTCTGGTCCATTTGTTCTTTCATTACAACAATGTGAAAATATAGCCCTTGCTCTCTGGCTCATGCTCAAATCTAGCCCACTATTCACCTCTCTTGTTAATCTGACCATGTGGCACATCCGTCCCTCAGAAGACAGATTATGCTCATAAATATTCCGAAGAAAACAAACCAGAATAAGGTAACAAGTCAAGGTCCATTTTTGGCAATTAACTTATAGTTAGAAACAAAAATTCTACAATTTAGCATTAACGTTAACTTTAGCATGAGTCAAGGCAGGTATTTCTTTTCCTGTTCTAAAGCCGCTAACAACTTGTGGTTTAGTTCAGAATATTGTGGCCTCAGACAACATTTCCCATAATCAAAAGGCATAAACCCTGTGATCCCAACCCCCTTCAAAGGGGAACTTCCATAAGAGTTTGTATTCATTCATTTTCTCCTAGATTTACTTTGATGTCCTAATTTGATGGTATTCTGTCCTGTTAGCAGGATGACTGACCCACACAATCGTGGTCATATATTTACCTCAAATATTCTCAATTTGGAAATAATTTCTTCCAGTAGGTGAACATCTTTAGAAACCTTCATATTTAACTTGTCCCTGTATCCCTGCAAACACTTGAATTCTTGCTTGTAGAGCTTTGATTTTTCAGAAGAAATATGCTTCTCTAAGACTTGTGTGTCTACAGCAAGTTTATCAACCACACTTTTCTGATTTTCCAGAGTTTCATAGATCGTCTGCAGGGAAAGGATTAAACAGAAATACATTTCACTTTTGCACATGGCAGCAATTCCATGTTCTGTGTAAAATATATCATCTTTAACTATACATATTACAACACGACAAAGAAAATATAGCATTGGATGTGACCTTTGTGTCACCCAACAATATTTTCTCATGCCCAACAATATTTTCTCATGCCAAAATGGGTTTTGTGTCAATATAATTTCCAGAGCCATAAGGATTTTTTTTCATGTGAATTCATTCAAAAGTCCTGATGTTTCTGTTGACAGGACAACAGGACATAAAATGAGGCTCCTAGGACCTCCAGCTTGCATGTCCAGCTGCTTCTATTACAACTCACAGGATAGTTGGTCTAGAGAAAAGTGAGGCAAAAGGTTTTCTGAGACAAATCTATTTATGGGTGGTGAATCCGTTAACTGCTGACCTGATCAAGTGATTTTCTATGCCCCACCCCCAACCAAAAAACATGGCAGCAGTGGGGAAGAAATCCATAAACAGCTCTGAAATTGCACAATTTTCTACTGGAGAAAGGAAGTACAGAAAAAAGAAGCAAGCAGGCCACAGTTCCCCACTCCTGACTCTTACCAGCTGGCACAGCATATCAATTGGCATGGCAAAAAAGAAATTGGCCCTCATCCCTCTCCTCCTGCAGGAAGGCATGATTTGCAGCCCTAATTCCCTACCATTGCATCCAACTGGCCAGCAATACATATCGAAGGGTGGGGTGAGCAAAAAGGATCAAACCTCCTTCTTTAGGAAGAACACATGATTTGTAACCCAGGGAATGGGTCACAATCCATCAAGTTTGAAAACTTTGGTGTCAGGAAGGTATTTCAGCTGGCTACCCATGTGGGTCTCCCTGAGTAGCTAATATGGGCGGAGTGGGGCATTAGAACCATTTCTTCCACATTGATCTTTGTAAATGCATGGATGCGATGCTATTTTAGGAAAGTTGTGTCCAGTTTTGTGGAACCTATTGTTGTCTAGTTCTTTCTTTCCCTCCCATATGCTCTGCAAGGACATGGGAGGTCTGATTGACTGCTAGGCAAAACAGCTTAGCTAACACTCGCTATTTTGCCTGAAACTATAGAAAAGGAAGCATGCATATTTTGAATGCATCACTCACATTAGGCCTGTGTTTTTCGTACATCCACAACTATTTATACAACACAACACATGTTGCTTGTCACACCTATCTTACTGAGCAGCAGTTTTCACATATAAGCCTGTTAAAACTGTGGGAGAAGTCTAATTCTTCTCCGCCCCCACACCCCAATGGTACACACCAATGTTAGTCAGCTTAATTTAAAATGCAATGGCATAAAAAAAGCCAAGCTGACTATAGACAGCTGCGTCTGAGTTTAAATTTGCTGAAGTGAAAAAAGGGAACATACCTTTGTCTGCTGCAAGGCTCTCTCAACTTTACTAAAGTCATTCACTGCATTCATGACAGATTGTGCCTTGCTTTCCAAATCATTCAGCTCACCCTTCAGTTTTTTCAAAGCATCCAAATAGTCCTTAGAAGGCTGGCTTTCCAATTCTACTTTCAAAATAAAAACGTAATGGATATGAATATTTATTTATTTATTTATTTTTTTAAAGAGGCATACAAGGCAATTCAACATTCAGTCAGCAGAAGCATTTCAGTTTGCCCCAAAGAATGATATCCTCTCTCCTCCCACCAAATACTGTTTTTGGGGCTCTCCAAACCACCAGAGCTGATTTGTGAGGGGAAAGAGCACCTCACTAGCACACCAGAGTTGTGTTGGCTGTGTTCAGGAGAAAAGCAAGCCAAAAAATATTGGCTTAAAACACAATATTGTGTGTGAGATGTATGCAGGGCACACAGTCCAATTTGGCCCACTTTGCTTCTCCCTTCATGTGACCTGGTTAAAAAAAAACCTCAAGAAGGGGTTAGCTTAAGATTATGTCTGAATCAGGCATTGTGATTTGTTAGGATTGTGATTTGTTTCTCCCTAACAAGTTAAGATCACTAGTCAGTCTTAACGGTTTGTTTCTGACATATGAACCCTAGCTCATTAGGGGAAAACAAGCAACAATCCCAAAACCTGGGCATAACACTAAACTATCACCCTCCTGGTTTATCTGCTTGCATAAAGCGAGGCCACAGCAGGAGTGACTGGGCTGCTTGCACCAGCACATACACCTTATGATTAATCAAGTCAGATTCTTGGGTTTATTGCTACATGCGAACATGGCCAGCATATCCTTTTTGCCTTATTTAAAATAAAAGTTCTCCTCTTGACTGCATATGCGGGGTTGGCAGAGGTTCGTCTAATGGAAATTATGCTGCAAAACAGGACAGAGACCCAACTCCCCTAGAAATGTTGCAAGGAACACTGCCAGTTGTACATGGAAGCCACTGAACATTTGGCTGGATGTGCTGCTTAAGTCACATCTATAATTACAAGAGTGACTTTGGACATTGATAACACTGGGCAACAATTTTTTACTTTTTGAATGTTGTCTAGATTTCTACAACTGATTTAGGGTATTTTTGCACTGCTGAATCAGGAAATGGCATCTGTTTCTCTCCATCAGGTCAGGTTTACTGTAAACTGAATGGTGGGCATTGATAAAGGTAAGTACATGTAAATTGCATGTTGCTTCACCATTTTTCAAACTTCAGGGCTTGAACTTCCATTTCTTGGAACTCCTGGAATGCTCAGCGGCAGGGAGGTCTCTCTTCAGAGTCCAACAGTAGTCAGCCATCATGACTGCGTCCCAGCGACCCTGATACCTGGTCTCCATCTCTTTCATGTCCTGATGGAATCTCTCCCCTGCTCGTCACTCATTGAACCCAGGTTCTCAGGAAACCGGTCCATATGTGAAAATAGGTAGTGCATCTTGACGCTCATGTTGCAGCCCAGGTTTCTGAAAGCAGTCAGCATGTTGTTGACAAGTTCTGCGTAGTTTCTGGCCTTATTGTTGCCAAGAAAGTTCTTCACTACCAGAACAAATGCCTAGTTCCACTTCGTTCATTGACTTTCTGAACTCTGGATCTCTGATGAGCTGACAGATCTGAGGACCGTCAAAGATGCCAGCTTTCAACTTCTCCATGGTCAATCCTGGAAAAGCCTGGCACAAGTAAGTGAAGCAGTCATCATCCTTGTCCAGAGCCTTGGTGAACTGCTTGATTAAGCCGAGCTTGATGTGCAGTGGTGGGAAGAGTATTCTGTCTCTGTCCACCAGAGGGTCGTTGATGACGTTCCTTTCTTTGCAAGGCACCAATTCCTCCTGCACAGGCCAGTCCTTCTTTGTGTAATGCTGAGCACGGTCCCTACTATCCCACATGCACAGAAAACATAGGTTCTTGGTGAAGCCAGACTGTTGTCCCAACAAAAAGTTCACCATCTTCAGGTCAACACAAATAAACCACTTATGCTGATCATAACCAATTTTCTCCATCACATACTTCACCCCTTCATAGTTCTCCTTCAGTGTACTCGAGTGAGCCAGGGGTATACAGGCAAACCGGTTGCCATTGTGTAGCAGAACACATTTCAGTGATCGCTTGCTGCTGTCAATGAACAGTCTCTAATCTTTGGGTTCGTACTGTTGCACTCCAAGCTTGAGCAGAAGCTGCGCAATATCTGCACAGTACACAAAGTCCTTCTCTTCCGAGAAAAAATGGAGGTACTCTTGATGCCTGTTGCGGAAGAAGCTGATGCGAGCACTGTCAGAGAGGAGGGTTTTTCCTTCAATCTGGATGCCAACAGTTCGGCAGAGTCCTTTGACAAGCTGAGGTCGCGAACTAGATCATTCAACTCCTTTTGGGAAAATGGATGTGGAGCATCATCTTCAAGAACCACTTCTTCTTCTTCATGTCCTTCAACACTGGAGGCATCTTCATCACTAATGTCAGGAAGTTCTCCAAAGATAGGCACTGGAATTTCATCACAATGAGCTACAGGATGACGTGCTGATTGAAGATCAGGATACTTGAGGCTGCTCCGGTTCTTTCTGTTGATCCCAGCCGCACCAATTTATGGAAGACTTCGAGGTTTTATGACTTCAAACTGATCCCTTTTCGACATAATCACCCAGAACTATCGGACCTGAATACTTCTTGTCATTAAAATAATCATCTCTAATCAAAAAAATTATTCAACATGGCATTTTACCCCCACCAACTTCTTCTAAAATGCTCCACACAAGCGTACATGTGAACAAAAACGTAAAAAAACCCAGCATGTGGCCATAGCTCAAAAACCTGACCTGATTGAGCAAAACCAATGTGATTTTTGGATTCAGCGCATCAGATTCGTCCTAAATCAACTGAAAAAACACAAACAACAAATTTGTTGTTGACCAGTGTAATCCCTTCTTTTTATGAGGGAAGGCTAACACATTTGAGGATTCTTAGTTTAGAAAAAAAATGACAATTAAAGGAACACATGATATAGGCTTATAAAAATATCCATGCTGTGGAGTAAGAGATAGAATTTTCATCTGTCTCTCACAGACCCAAGAGTCATCCAGTTGAATTGACAGGAAGAAGAAGAAGAAGAAGAAGAAGAAGAAGAAGAAGAGGAGGAGGAGGAGGAGGAGGAGTTTGGATTTGATATCCCGCTTTATCACTACCCTAAGGAGTCTCAAAGCGGCTAACAGGATACAGGATATACAAAATAACCTACTTCTCTGCACAATGCAAAGTTAATTTATGAAATTCAGTTCACTGCCACAAGATGCTATATCCATAGCTCAGGTGGCTGGGAAATGGCTTTAGGGAAATTCACAGAGAAGTGTTCCACAAATGGCTATTAGTCATGATAGCTATATAGAATCTCCATGTTCAGAGGCGATAAATACTCAAGAATTCCATTTGCAAAAGTGGGTTGACCCAGCAGGGCCCTTATTATTATATATCAAGCACTAATCTTTTTGTCCTAAACCTCAATTGCCCTCCTGAATGTTTCTCTTTTATTCCATCAAATGCTGCAGGCTATAGCATTTACCTCAAGCATATTTTTACTTATATGTTCTGAACCAAGAAACTCCTACAATACTGTAAAAGCTCAGGTTATGCAGGAAACCAAAAGAAGAAAGCAAGGATATATATATGATTAGAAGAATCAATCACACTATCCAGTAAGTTTACCCTCTTTTTTTTTGGAAATTCTGGAGAAACATGATAAAAACATCAAGGTTAGTTTGAATAATGACAGTTTTCCTTTATATTAAACTACATATCTTTAAATCCCTAATTATGGAGTACAGCACTACGGTTATGTTGTTTTTTAAAAAAAGTTAATTTAAAAAAGTTTAAGGCAGCAATTGATAAATAACTGATTTTGTATTGTATTTCCGTGTTTGAAAACTGAAGGGCAATGGTACAACATTGCACTTCTGAACTAACACTATGTTAAATAATAATATTTATATAATTATTTTTGCTACTACATTTCTCTGTTGAGGTGCTTCTGTTAAAAAGTAACAAAAAGAACCAAATGATTATTCACCACAATATGGATGAAACGGTAATCCTTTATTGGAGACCGGGAACAGAGCATTAATAGCCTGGCAGAAACATAACTTGGCAGGAATAGACCAAAGGAGTTCACAAACTATTCTGCCACAATAGTACCTGTGCACATTTTTCTTAAAATACTATGGAATATTCATTTTTCTCCATTACAAATATACAGTTATTACCTTGTGGACATACAATCAAAACTGCATAAAAAAATAAACATCAAACTGACACCAGTTGCCTGTGTATTAATCTGTTAAAAATTTACTATGCATCCTTAACACACCATGAAGTTCACTTTTCAAGTTTGAAAGAAAACTATTAGGGATAATAAATATAAAGAATCTAAACATTTCATTCCATCAATGGAAAGAGCTTCTGTCAATGGAACTCTTCTTCATTTACAGAATGGAGCATTTGACTTCAGATCCAAACGTACAGAAATACAAAGGAGTGCAGGCGAATACTAACCGCATGGAAAAGCTGGGACCTAAAGCAATATTAAGTAGTTGTGTAAGTTTACGTGCATTGAAATTTTGGTTGCATTGACACTTACATTTTAAGCGTTTATTGATGATTTTAAGCAGTATTTTTTAAAGTATACTGGTCATTTAGTTGCCTGAAGCAAATATCTGATCTGGCAGGATATAAATTAAATTATCATAGCAGTAATTTCACTAAAGTCTTCTTCTTAAAATTGTCTCTTTAAAATGTCGTTAAGTTATATATGCAGAAACAGCATATACATCTTTTTTTTTACATCTCTGTAGGCAATTCAGTGTTTTCCTGTTTTTCTCTGAACCACCTTCGGAATTAGTGGCATTTATAAATGACCTGCACCCCAAAAGTAGCAATCTAGGCATTGCTTTTATGAAGAAAATGATTTTGTTATATAGCAAGCAGAGAAAACAGAAATTGGGCTTATTCCTTTATGAGGAGCTACAAAATCTATGCCATGCTTCCAGTGAGACTATGTAATTTATACACAGAATCTGTGGTGAACACAAAGCAGCAATTCTAAGGTTTTTGCTACAAGCAAAAAAATAGCAATATATTGTAAGCGGGGAATTTTTTTTAAAAAAACACATCCACATGTTAAATAAAAACACACCTTTTTTCACTTGCTGTGACAGACCCTCCAGTTTCTGTTGAGCAGACTTGAAGCGATCATTCAAAGACTTTATGTTTTCCTCAATAAAGTCTGGAGCACCCGGCTGGGATGCAAGGACCTTGCCCTGGGTTTTCAGCTGTTCAATCCAGGGACTCAGACTTAATAGGTCATTGTGTTCCCTCTGTGAAAGTTAAGTATAAACACACACACACACACACACACACACACACACACAAACATTAACATCATTTAAACAACACTGGGTTCCTACCACTGTAAGTTCAGTTTATAATTCCATGTTGTTTATGCATTTCACAATGAACAAATTTACCTGGCACAACTCCTTTAGAGTTGTTAAAGGTTGCTGTTGCAATGATGAAGCAGACTTTTCTTTCAGCCATAATTCTTTTTCACTCAAAGTCTTATCAAGCTCATCCATTTCCCTAAAATAAATGTTTACTTCATCCTGGCACTGCACTTTTCTTGCAACTTCTTCCAAGTGCCAGCCTGCCCTTTTCCACTCTGCCAACAGCTTCTCGAGGGCATTTGCCACATATTCAGTAGGAAGCCCTTCTGAACAAGCAAAAGAAATAAAAACTGTTTTGATATGCAGTATTCACCAACACAACGATACATGCTTCTCTTATAAGCTTACTTAGATCAGGCTCAATAGTAACAATGGTTTCCTTGTCAATCACTTGCAAACTGTAACATATGGAATGATTTAAGTTCACCCGCATTCCATTTTTTTAATAAAAATAAAAAAATACTTTTTTTTTTACAACCATCACCTGACTAATTCAGTTTTAATTGCACAAATCTTCCCCAGCTATCTAGTGAAAAGAAGCATCTCACTAGGAATTCAGTAGTTCATAACTGTGCCTTTTCATGGTAATAGGTATATATTGGTAGGCTAGACAAGTGAGGCAGAGCAGAATCCAAATACAGATGTATAGGTGCCTGCAGAATCTCCTCTTGTGTGCCAGCCCTAAGTAAGCTGCTCTGAGTACCTTAGAGTACCTTGCTCTGAGCACATGGGTGGATGAGCATGGCATAAGTCCAATAAATGAACATGCCAAGAAGCAAACGGGATGTAATATAAATATGTTCTTCTCCTGTCCCCTTCCACAGGAGATCTGGAGTATGACATCATCATCATCATCATCATTCTTCACCCATCTCGCTGGGTTTCCCCAGACACTATGGGTGGCTCACAGCATATATAAAACATAGTAAAATATCAAACATTAAATACTTTCTGATACAATGCTGCCTTCAGATGTCTTCTAAAAGTTATGTAGTTCTTTATCTCCTTAACATCTGAAGGGAGGGTGTTTCACAGGGAGGACGCCATTACTGAGAAATGGGCCTTTTCAGTGGCAGTTTCCTGCTTGTGGAATGCTCTCCCCAGAGAAGGCTTGCCTAACACTACCTTTGCCTAGTTTTAGGCACTGAGCAATTTCTTTTTTCTACCTGGGCTTTTGGCCCTTGACCTGGATGATTTTTAAAGTATTTCTGGCCTCTTTTGGTGGGGCAGGATTTGCTAGACCTGTCTTTTATTTGTATAGATGTCATTTCCATGAATAAAGTGACTTAACAATAGTAATAGTCTGGAATGAAGATGGCCTATAATCAAGTTATCTTAATAAGAAATCAATGATTTCAACTCACTAACACTAGAATGTCTTTTGAGGTCTTGCAGCTTTCAGTGAAGGAGAAACTGGTGCTTTCATAAATTTTAGTTATTGTAGTTCTGGTGTTTTTTGTAGTTTCTGGAAACTCCAAGTTTTGACTAGAGCAAGTAATGCAAAGTACTTGCATCATGCTATTATTATGATTACCTTTTCTCATTTGGTCCATCAGATTTTCTCCAACCTGGTTCAGTTCATTCAATGCTTTCTTTTTTTCCGTCCTTTCTTTTTCTATTGCCTGTTAATAAAAATTAAAAAAACATTTCAACACTGAAAGTAAAAACCTATCTGTTAAAAAAGTAACTGGTTTGGCACCATAAATTGCCTAGATATGAGTCCACCTAGGAGCCTTCTGTGAGCTCCTAATCCAGTCTTCAAAAGGGTGGAAAGTAAGGGTAATTTATAGTAAAATAACAAATTAATGCAGTTGTTCTATGCATAATTACTTGCAAGTAAGTATCATTCAACAGATACTTATTTATGATCAGGCACGTATAGAACACATTCGATCGGATGAGAATGCTTTAAAGTCAATAGTAACCTATTTTGAAATATTTTCCATGAACATATAAACATAACTATCTATAAATAAATTAGAATGTTTAGGCATTATAGCTCTCCATAATCCTCACATCTTTTCTGGTATCCTCTTGGGCCTTTTGTCTCCAACCCCATTCTTTATTTATCGCTTTCTACACTTTAGTCCTCCAGATTAGATATTCAAAGAAAACTTCTCTATCTCATTGGACCCATGCTGCCATACAGAGAAATCATGCTGGCACAGGCTTTAGATCAAGTCTTTGCAAAATAACACGATACAGAATATGGCCTGAAAGCTCTTCCGGTTCATGGAAAAAGAGTACATTAAGAAAGGCAAGTATCAAATCCACTTGCTGTGCCTTCTGAATAATGCTGAACATAAAAATTGTTGCAACAAGTAGCTTGACACTTCTCTGACAGCATTCTAGTATGTAGCCTTTTACAAGGACATCTGTTATATTAAACTATAGAATTTAGCAATGATCCAGATAAGAGACATGAAGTTTTATCAAGGATTAAAGCAAACCAAAAAATATTTTTAAATTCTCAGGCACAATGCATTACAAGGCTTAAGGGGGGGGGAACTCCCCATGAGTCATACAATTTTATTCTGTCTGACAATGTGTGAAATCTATTTCATATGGGATGTACTTTCAGGTTTCTCTATGGTGGTGTAATTAATTAAGCTATTTAAAGTTAACTTACACAGGCATTAATAAGACTCCAATTATCTAAGCCACAGAATACTTTGATCTCTGGTCTTCACAGGGTATGTGGAAAGGTTATTAGATGCCTCTCTGGGCTGAAATCAAGACTTTGCCATAGTTCTCAGTTTTACAGAAATATCAGGGGAGAATTCCTGCTGGGTCCATTTCTAAGAATAAATTGTCTTTAAAATGTGCTACAACTCACAATGTGCAGCTTCCTCTTCTAAAACGAAAATGGAAAATAGTATGCGGAGGGGAAAAGGAAAGGAAATGCCCATTAAAGCTCTAAGGATGTCCTGCCACAACTTCAACAGTATTGTTTATAACCAGTATAGAGGACTGAACCTTGGCCAAACTCTAAAGATTTTTAATAATGGAACTTAATCCACAGGAAGCTACCAGATCAGACTCTACCCCCAACTGACAGCAAGCTTAAGCTGACAAAATAACCTTTTCAGTGAAAATGCCTCCCCGTTTCTCACTTTACCTTCAGTTTCTCTTTCATGTCTGAAGTCTCTCTCATCTTCCTGTACTCTTTGATCTCTATGGCCTGAATGGCAGCTTTTGATTTCAAAATCCAGTTCAACAGCTCAGCAATTTCAGAATCAAGCCTAGTATAAGAGATTGAATAATATTTTCTTATATTTCTTCTCCATTCAGTCATCATCTTTTTTTCTTAAAATGCAACCCTTAGTCTACCCTGAAGTAACATGTTCATGCACATAAAATGTTTTCTAGCGTAGTCTTGAATGCTTGAAGAATCCTCAGCAAAGAATCCTGGCACTCGCCTGGCTTCCTGTGCCAAACTGTAGTGATCTCTAAGGAAAGAGGGGCAAAATAACTGTTGCTTCATGCACTCTCTATCACCTGTACCTAGAGTCAGATAGGCCTAGAGAGGGCAGATGCAGCAACTGCTACAATGACTTGCTGTGTTTCCCTGACCTAGAGCAAAACAGTGGACTGTGAATGGTTGCTGCACCTGCTCACTCACTTGCTGATTTTCTCTCAGCAGAAGAAATGAGCTGCAGTACTTTGAGACCAAAAGGAGCCACAAACATTTACTGTACTTGCGCTGAGCAGCCTACCCACCCAAATCCCCATCCTTCTATCCTTATTTGCAAGACTGCAAATAATTTTTCATACAGAGTTCTAAATAGGACCAAAAAAACCAGACAACAGCAGTATTTTACAACGCTGCATTTTTTTACCATGCACTGTGTGAAAATGAGTCAACTCATTGCCTCTTGACTGAGAAAACACAACTACAATGAAAAAAAATCTCACTTTTTCTTTGCTTCAGTATCAAGGCAGGCTTGTCTTTTCTTTGATGGAGGTAGAGGTGGAACAAAATCTTCCTCTTTGGGATGTTTAACTGTTCTTTGCTCTTTAAAAAGGACGGTTTCTGTGATTACTTTCTGTGAAATCTGGGCTGGTTCAGCATTTGCAACTGCATGAGTAACCTTAAGGGATAAATTGAACAGGACATCAACGTTGATAAAACGAAATTATACAATATGCCATCTTTGTACAAGAGATAAATGCAGCTAATAATAACAGTAACACTAATCACTTTAGATATGATCCAGATGAATTTAAGTGGTTTTAGACCAATTAATTTCACTGAGAACATTAAGCATGTGATTTACTGCCTTCCACTGGTTTTGAAGGAACTTCATTCATTTTTTTATCCTGGCTCTCTCCTCTGAAGAGCTCAGGGTTGGATAAAAAATGGTCACACATTAGCCTTTTATCCTTATACCAACATGAGGTTAGTTAGCCTGAGAGATGGTAACTGGGTCAAGGTCACTCTGTCACTGTCCAGCCCATCACTGACTCTACACTGGTCCAGAATCATCTTTATAAGTCAAGATGCAAACAAGCTTCATGCAGCCACATGTAGCCACTTCACTCCTCTCTTTGCTTGCAAACAAACCAAGAAGTCTAGTTTAACCTTAGCTTCCAATTATGTCCAAACTGGAAAACTATAGTTAATAGCTTTCAAAAAGCTAGGAGACAAAGCAATTGACAAATAAACTTTGCAATTAAACTTTGCTTAAGTGCAGTAGATGTGAGGTTTGCTCAATCTGTTTATTAAACTGAGATATGATCATCTTGCTTGTGATTTTTTAAAGGATGCATCTGGGAAACTTCTCAGTCTGTTTTGCACAGTACTATTTTGAATTACTCAGCCAACTCACTATTTGACTTGTCTCTAAATCAAGCACAGATTAGAATTAGACTTTCAGATTTTCTAATCAGATTAGAAATCAAGCCTGAAAAGGACCGATTTACTTCCTTCCCCCTGCCCCTCCTTTTTTATTTTAAACACCTTTAAGAAAAGACCTTCAGGCTTCTTTATTAGTTTTACTTTTATAGGTCAACATTCATGTATTAGTGAAAGACATTTGGAAGGTGTAAAGGGATAGTAATATTTTTATGTTACCTGAGTGGAGTAATCCTCAAGTTTCTGAACTAAACTGTCCCACTTCTGTGTTAGTTCTTCCAGATCGCTGTCAATTTTCTTCAGTGCCTTCTTGTTGTTGAGAAGTTGTGCCACATCCTGGGACACCTCATTCAGCTGTTCTAATGTTCGACGCTTCATTTCCATATCTTCTTTGATAATCTGACATTGTGAAACAAGAGCAGCCATTCCCTTTTAAAGGCACAATTCTGCTCAAATTTCCCAGGCTAATAAAGTATATTCTTAGAAAATAAAATTGTGAAAATGTCCCTAATAGTTTTGCTGGTAGTGTTTTTTTAATATACATTTGCTAAAATACTATGCCTGTTCAGGTATTCAGTATCTATGTACCATCTCTGTGAAAAAGCCAGCAGGAATGCCCTTGACATGTGTGCTAGCCATGCCCACCTCACCCAAATCATGATTAGCAACACAGAATCATAGAACTGTAGAGGTGGAAGGGACCCCATGGGTCATCTAATCCAACCCCCTGCAAAAATGCAAGAATCTCAACTAAAGCATCCATGACAGAAGGCCGTCCAACCTCTGCTTTAAAACCTCCAATGAAGGAGAATCCACAAACTCCCAAGAGAGTCAGGATTACCTGAAGGGGGCACTGCTTCTCCATGCCTAAAGTCTCAACTGGGAGAGGAACCCTGATTGGTCAGCATTTCGGTCTCCATGCTGAAAACCTTACACTATGACTAATACCAATTGTGCATTATAGCCAGGGTCGTGACCAGCATGTGATGCATGACGGAGCCCTGTGCATTTCCACTGGCCCCTTCACACACTCTGTACCCACAAGCTTTGGTTTCACTGAAAACTGGGAAGAGCCTTGAGTAGCATGCACATATGAAGCTATTGTCAAGATTCAGAAGTCCTAAGGCATACACAGAAATTTTGAAGCGTTTGTGGAGTGTCGCACCTGACAAGGGGCTTCTCCATTTACTTCCTCACTGAGAACAATATTACACAGTCTCCCTCTTACTTTCCCCCTTGAAGTAAAAGGCAAATTGCTTGCTTGAGTGAAAGCTGTGGCCGCTTCAAAAACCAAGAAAGCTCAAGATCATGATTTGTGTATACAGCAGATTGGGCTGAGGAACCTGTGGCCCTCCAGATGTTGCTACACTCTAAATCCCATCAGCTCAAGCCAGCATGGCCAACAATCAGGGGTGATAGGAGTCGGTGTTGAGCAACATCTCACAAGTCACAAGTTCTCCATTCCCGCAACAGAATTATTAGGTACTTATCTACTGCAGCATCACATAGTCTTAAGGAGGGCCTTCTCCAATATCAATTTGTCCATGCATTAAGATTAGAGGATGCCCTCCATTTTCCATCTTTAGGAGAAGCACATCATGTATGTATAAAAGATAGGAGCTTCTTTCTCATATGTCCTCAGCTGTAGACAGAGGTACTTTTGGCACCAACAATGTATGTTCTTTAGAACCAGATTAAAACATTTTCTATTCGCCCAGGCATTTTAAGTTATGTTACTTTCAGCTGGTTGAGTGGTTTCATGCCTCTTAATTTTATTGTATTGCTGGTTCTGTTACATAATGCAAATAATGTAACATAGATTTTTAAATATCTTTGCAAATTTCCATCATTCACCTGAACACTGTAATTCAGGCATTCTTGTGTCAGATGCTTCATTCTCATATCTCCTTTGAGAATCTGATGGTGAAACCACAGTATCCACAAGAATTTGTCTTGGACTACTGCCTTCATACTTGCTTTTCAATAAGCACCACTTTCAGTTTGTACACTCTCTAGCACATCTGCATGAACTGAACAGTCACATGCTTTTCACAAAATAGCGTGTTGTGATTTTCACACTGCATTCTTCAGCTACGAGTGAAACCCACAAGTATTAACCTATGTCTTTGGAAAGTAATTTGAAAACTTGGTAGACCATGAAATTAGCACTAGGATGAAACAAGGATGATACTCTAGCACTGCAGAGAAAATGCCCGATTGACAATAGGGAGTAGAACAGGATGAAACATTTAGGGTTGTGATGCTATTTTCAAATGCAAACCAAGTAATACTCACTGCCAGCTTTCGAACATTCACACCAAGCTCTTTTTGATCTTTGAAGTTGCTTGTTTGCACTTGGTTTAAACTATCTTCTTTCTCAATTAGCCAGGCTTTCAACAAACACTGCACAAGAGACAACACATTTAAAAAAAAAAAAAACACCAAGAAAATATTTACACAATTCTCCTGCATTTTATTTTTATTTATTAAATTTGTATACCGCCCTTCATCCATAGATCTCAGGGCAATTCACCACATAAAAATACAATATAAAAACACAAAATACATGATGAAAACAGTAACAAAGGGGGGGGCAATAACCCCCTCTCCCTCCCACAAACACATTTAAAAGGGTTGTAAGATATTTAATAATAATAATAATAATAATAATAATAATTATAATTATAATTATAATTATTATTATTATTATTATTATTATTATTATTATTATTATTATTATTTTATTTATACCCCACCCATCTGGCTGGGCCTCCCCAGCCACTCTGGGCGGCTTCCAAAAAAATATTAAAATACTATAATACTTCAAACATTAAAAGCTTCCCTAAACAGGACTGCCTTCAGATGTCTTCTAAAAGTCTGGTAGTTGTTGTTCTCCTTGACAGCTGGTGGGAGGGTGTTCCACAGGGAGGGTGCCACTACCGAGAAGGCCCTCTGCCTGGTTCCCTGTAACTTGGCCTCTCGCAGTGAGGGAACCGCCAGAAGGCCCGCGGTGCTGGACCTCAGTGTCCGGGTAGAACGATGGGGGTGGAGATGCTCCTTCAGATATACTGGACCGAGGCCGTTTAGGGCTTTAAAGGTCAGCACCAACACTTTAATATTTAAGATATTAATCAGCAAAAGGCCTGGTTGAAGAACTTTTTTGCCTGGTGCCTAAAGGTGTATAATGAAGGTACCAGCCAAACCTCCCTGGGGAGAGCATTTCATAAATGGGGAGCCACTGAAAAAGCTTTGTTCTCATGTTGCCACCCTCCAGACCTTCCATGGAAGAGGCACACAAAATAAGGTCTCAGATGATGATCTCAGGGTCTGGCTAGGTTCATATGGAGAGAGACGGTCCTTGAGGTACTGCAGTTCTGAGCCATTTGAGGCTATATTATGTTAATCGTCATCATCATTGTACCTTAATTGCAACACTACTTTGGCATTACACCAGCACTTTGTCTTCTTCTTATTGGTTGGCACACCTGTCTTGTTCTCATTGGTTCAAAAAAAACCACAACTAGGTAAAATGCCATCTTCCATTTTTTTGACAGAACAAGTGTCATTCTACTTATAAGAGCATTCTTTTGTGGAGTATCTTAAAACTGAATATATAAGTCCATTGCTTTGTAAACTAATATGATAGAGTTAAATCCAGACAAATGCAACATCTGTAAGCTCATGATTTCACAAATCAGTACCAAATAGACTCAAAATTAATTAAATCTACCCAGGAAGATTATTTTGTAAGTTTTTAGTATCCATAGCAGATATTTTTCCTCACTTCTATAATGACATGTTTAGCAGACAATATTTAGCTCTGCAAACCAAGAACCAACTCAAAGGGTCATAACTGTCCTATTCTATCTACTCAGCAAGCAACAAATTTTGTCCTTAAAGAACCAAGGCAGAAACTAAGCCTCCCACTCCAATCACTGAAGTAAGTAATCCATCAAACATATCTATTAGCGTTCTTTATTGGGACTGGACTATTTCCAAATACTCCGAGATCATAGAAAGAGCTAGTATTAGTAATCCTAGTAAGAACTACACTCAGTTACAGAAAGGAACTAAGACACAACTTTTTGCATTCTTATGAAAAATCACACAAGTTTCTTCAGACAGAATATTTTATACTGAATTGACACAGACCATACCCTCCAACATTTCTCTGATGAAAATAGGGACGCCCCATTTCATAGTGATAATTTTACTATTTCTACCCCACACATCTTACTGGGTGGAATCTAGCCACCCTAGATTCCAACATATATAAAAACATAATAAAACATTAAACATTAAACAAACTTCGCTATATGGGATTGCCTTCAGATGGCTCAGGGGTCAGATAACTCCATACCCTCCAACATTTCTCCAATGAAAATAGGGACATCCTAAGGAAAAGTGGAACATTCCGGGATCAAATCAGAAACCTGGACAGCTTCTCTAAATCAAGGACGTCCCTGGAAAATAGGGGCACTTGGAGAGTCTATCAGACTTATAAATATGAACAACTGAGCTTTGCTAACAGCTGTCAAAATATATTTCCTTTTAAAAAAACCAGAAAGGCTATAAAGAAGTTAAGTGGCAGTGTTTGAAGATAATTTTCCCGAATGATTTAACATTTGCTGACTTTACAATCTACCTCCCCAAAAACATCAAGGGCACTATACGTCCTAAGGTATCTCTTTGCTGTTCATCCATTCAACTAGAAAACCTCAGCCAATGAGTTGTTTCAATTATTTTTTCACCACTAAAAAATCATTTTAAAAGATGTTGGTGCGTACAGTGAAGCAATTTACCTGCATGTTGTTGTTTTTAGAAATAGCTTGCATAAACTGGAGAAGCTGGTAATTAAGGGGATTTTGAAGTGCAAATGCTACCCAAGGCTCTTTGGGGAAATAACAGGGCAGAAATGCAATGAAAGAAACAGGACTCAAGATAAGACTATGCAGACAAAGGCAATCTGAGTTAACCAGAGGTGATGGTGTCACTAACGGTGTCCCTTGACCTTTAATTTTCTTCTATACAAGTGAAGGATTTGTGTTCATTTCAGTTGGGACTTAGAATACTGCTCTTGTGGATACAATAATGGCAAGGACAAAACCTGCCTTCTGCAACCAACACTGACTCACCCAGTCCTCTATGATTGGTAACACACACACTAGCCTTTGAAATCTATAAGACCACCTCTCTAGATAGAAAGAGGCACAACAGTAGAGGATTACTTCTGTTATTTTATCCTATTATATTAATCTCAAATGGGATTAATTTAATCTGATCAATTTAGCAGTTTGATCCAAATGTGATCCATTACAGGGCCAACTGCATACAGAGAAGAGGCCACAATCATATGGATACAGTGATTACTCAGCCCCTAGTCTACTAAAATTAATAATGCTCAGCTACTTCCCTTTAGTTAAATTTGTCACTGGTCGTAAAACATACTGTTTGTAACATACTGGATACTGTTTATATATATTAGCTTGAATTATACTCTGGGATTCAAGTAGGCAAATTGCTCCCCATCTCTCAGCCATAATGTAGATGACTAGTCACTGACAGCAAACAAAGCAGCAAGGTTTAGCAATGAAGGTTGTTGCACCATGAGCTTATAAATCCTTCCTGTAATGTGTATGGGTTGCTCGTGCGTAAGTTGCCGCCTCTCCAGGCTTTGTTGCCTTGCTAAACCTTTCAGTCTGGGCAGCCCTTCACTTCGTGGCTGCCTCAGTCGCTAGCAGAATCCGTCAGTGGGCGTTTCTTAAATCTTTTCCAACATAAAAGTTGTTTGACACCCAGTCTCCTCCTACTCTCTCTGCGCGGAAGTCTTCTGCGCAGGGTGGGCGTGGGTAGCGGGGGACCCGTGCTCTCCCCGCTGGTGTCCAGTGAAGAGTCCTGGAGCCCTCTCGCCAATTCCCCCATCAGCCCCTCTTTATCCCTGGTGTTGCGCTGATTTGCTTCCCCATCTGCGGAGTTGCCTCTCTCCCTGCTGGGCCCTTCTCCAGCATCATTTGAGAGCCTTCCCTCCGCCTCTAGCTCCGATGTCAGTTCCCTGACACTTCCTAACACCCTAACAAAGTTCACACCCAGGAGGGACCTGTATCTACATACAGTGGTACCTTGGTTTAAATACTTAATTTGTTCCAGAGGTCCGTTCTTAACCTGAAGCACCACTTTAGTTAATGGGGCCTCCTGCTGCTGCCGCGCCGCCAGAGCACAATTTCTGTTCTCATCCTGAAGCAAAGTTCTTAACCCAAGGTATTATTTCTGGGTTAGCGGAGTCTGTAACCTGAAGCGTATGTAACCTGAAGCATATGTAACCCGAGGTACCACTGTACAATAAAAATCGCTTCTATATTTCAGGGTGGGGGGGATCTTAAATGAAACAAACATGCTTTCCCCCAATAGCAAATTTTATTTAAGCACATCCACAAACAATGGAATGCTGTACTGCAAAAGCCAAGGGGCCCATGCCCAGATACAAATAAAAATTGTAGCAACTTGGGCCCAAGTATCCCTGATGGTGCATTTTTTCTTGCACCACTCATAATGGCAGCTGACAACTGGCTTGAGAGCTATATCTGAAGAACTGAAAGGCTACAATTTTAGTATTTAATTTTATGTAACAAGTTTCCCCCATAACTGTCTCAATCATAACATGGCCTTATAAATAATTACATAAAAATTACATTAAAATGTAAGAAGAGTCCAAAGGCCTATTTATGCACACCTTTCTGTTCTCAGAGTGGCCAACCAGAGACTTATGGGAAGCCTGCAAGCAGGACATGAATGCAACAGCATTCTCCCCACTCATGCTTCCTAGCAAATGATAAGAGTTTGAATTTGTCTAATTGCCTTTCAAAACTTTTCAACTTGGTGACCTTTGTTACATTTTATGGTAGTGAATTCCAAAGTTTAACTACGTGCTGGTGAAAAGGTATTGCTTTTTTCCAGTTCTGAATCTTCCAAAACATTTCAGCTTCACTGAATGACCTCAGGTTTTGTCAGCAATATACACTGGTAATAGACTAGTCCATAACAAATTGAATGAATACCTTTGGGTAGGAATACAAGCAAGTTCAGAAAGCTGATTTACTCTTTTTAAAAGTACACTGGAGAAAATAAACAAGTTTTACCTGCTCTTCCAATAGCTCCTGCCATAAGATATTGAGCTCTTGTAGCTTGAGCCACCGTTCCTCAGTCCAGCGACAAACTGCTGTCCATCGTTCACCAAGCACCTGCAGACAATTAAAGAAATTTCTGAAACCATGCAGTCCCCTTTGAAAGCAGATGGAAAATACAAACATATAGGGTGGGATTTAGCTAATGAGTCCCAGCAGCAGAAGCCCTGCACAATGGAGCTCCACCCCCTTTTCTTCCTTTGGCATTATGTATTGTATGTGCCCATATTTTTCTTTAACGTAAGTTGCTTGAAGACTTTCAGGTGACAAGCATCTAATAAGTCTAATAAATAAATGTTGTTTGCTTGCCTGGAGGACAGAGAGCATTGGGTGAATGTGTGTAGAAAGAAACCTACAGTACAAAGGTAAGATTCATATTCATTACTCCATCTAGGTTTGCCCTGCCCACCACTGGCATGTGGGCCCCCAGAAGGAGATGTGGCCTTTTGGCTGAAAAATGTTCCACATTTTTCCCATGCAGAGAATTATTAAATCAAGACATCCACTCACCTGCAACTGATCTTCTAGGATAGCTGTGGCACTTTCACCACTGTTTTCGTCAACAATGACCACCATGTGAGTCAATGAGTTTACTTTAACCTGCTCTGCTTCAAGATCATTTTGTAGCCCCTGAAAGCATTGATTAAATTGTTATGAAGACCAGACATAACACTGTATTGTTTAGCTAGTGCCAGCTGCTTGATTTTGTTTAAGCAAATATTTTCCTAATGAGCCACGACTGTTTAGCCACAACCACTCTAAACAGCCTCTGCTGCTTCTGGCCATATCCCACACAATATGTATAGTAACAAAATTATTTTCACCAATGCAACCTTATCTTGCATATGTGCTCATTAAGTCACTTCTTGCAAGTGAAGATCCCCACAATCATTTGACATGTCTAGTCACATGAAAATGCTAGCTTGGCGCTTTGGGCCACATTGAAGAGTGAGTGGCAGGAAGAACAACATTTCCTCTGTGGCAACACTTTTGGGTGCTTAAAAATACACCTCTCCTCAGAAAAAGCACTGTGTCAAAAGGAAGATTCGCACATACCCCAGAACTACTGAGTAATATTACACAAGATCAGTCATATGAAAAATCCCATAAGTTCTATCCAGAAGCTTTAATGGCTGCACTCATTGCTCCACAAAGTTTCAAGGAAACCAAGAAGTAAAATGTACTTCCACAAAAATACAGTTCCTGAACTTCACTATACATGGCACAACGCCACAGTACACATGAAGGTCTAAATCTTATTTTAAAAGATGAGTTTCTATATTAACAATTCCATCCAAAGGCAACCAGGAAATCTGAGCTGTTGCAGACTATTTTTTCACTCTATCATGCTTATTACAGTAAGGAGTAAAAATACTTTATGTTCATCCATCTGCTGTTGAAAGGACTCCAAGTCTTCAGCGAAGCACTGAGATTCCATCTTTTGAATGCGTCCTTCTGTAACAGTCAACCAGTCAGACAGCTGCTGCAGTTGTTTCTTCTGTAGCTCCATCAATACATCATGGAGGCTGATCATGTCAAAAACACAACGAATTATTTTTAGTGTCACTTTGAAAATGAGATTTGATGTTAAAGTAACAGTGCAATCCTCAGAAGTGAGCCCCACTGTGTTCCTTAAGTCTTACTCACAAGTAAGTACTCAAAAGACTGCAGCCTACATGAGTTGATCAAAAGAAAAGCAACATGTTTGGAAACGGGGCCTGAAAATCTAGTCACATTTATTAGAAACTATGTTTTAAAGCAACACATAAGCCTGTACTGAACACAGAATCTGAAATACTACATTTTCATACAAAGATCCACAGTTTAGTTTTGTGTTCATGTTAGTGTCTTGGGCGCAAAATTATTCACTACTTAATTTTCTTTTTCCTGAGCTCATTTAGATGTGCTTCCAGGCTGAATTTAGTGTTGAAATGCATTACGTTTATTCTAAAAACTGTTCAGTCCGCAAGGGGTTGGGTCAGAGGGGTTGACACATAACAAGTACCACTGGAACTGGAAACTAGTCTGTGCGTGTTCAGGGTGTCACTCACTGGGACTGCCGATCCATACTGTCTACTCTGAGAGCCTCCCATCTGGAATTCAGCAACGACATTTGTTCCTGGATTTCACTTTCCTCCTCCTCTGAAAGATTGCCCTGGGCTAACAATTGATTGCCAGCCTGAAGCACACTACCCACACTGCTCTGGTGTGCTGTCAACTCCATCATAAAAGCCTAGGAAAAAAAGATTAAACAAGTCAGATCAATCTGATCTCTCGCCATGGATAATTTTAATAACTGCATGGAATTTACAAGACTTTTAATAAACAGCAAATTGGAAATTGGAACGCCACACAAAAGGCTAGGATCAATAAAGAAACAAGCAAAAAAAAAGATGCTTAGGTGTTTCTCTCCTCATCAGGAAGCTAAAAATAGAAATGAAATAATCAAATCAACAGTGTGGTTAGTTTTCCATTACTGTGGGAACCTCAGGTTCATGCTTCTTCTATGACAGCCTGAAATGCTTTGGAACGGGGAGCCAACAATATGCAACATTTATCACATAGGACTGATAACGCCAAGGTTGCAGGTTCGAACCATGTGCGGAAGAGCTGCATATTCCTCCATTGCAGGGGGTTGGACTAGATGATCCTCAGGGTCCTCTACAACTCTACAATTCTGTGATTCTATGATTAGCTCTTCCATGCTTGCATTTTCTTTAAAGTAGCTCTGTTTCCAGGTGCTGAGGGACGCAGGTGGTGCTGTGGGTTAAACCACAGAGCCTAGGACTTGCCGATCAGAAGGTCGGCGGTTTGAATCCCCGCAACAGGATGAGCTCCCGTTGCTTGGTCCCTGCTCCTGCCAACCTAGCAGTTCGAAAGCACATCAAAGTGCAAGTAGATAAATAGGTAGCGCTCCAGCGGGAAGGTAAATGGCGTTTCCGTGCGCTGCTTTGGTTCACCAGAAGCGGCTTAGTCATGCTGGCCACATGACCCAGAAGCTGTACGCCGGCTCCCTCAGCCAATAAAGTGAGATGAGCGCCGCAACCCCAGAGTCAGCCACGACTGGACCTAATGGTCAGGGGTCCCTTTACCTTTACCTTTCCAGGTGCTAGTACACACTGTAACTGCAAACATACCAAACAACTACCTATATATATCTGGATGTAATCTTAAACCCACAACAGAGGTACATATCAATTAAAAAATTAAAAAATAAGTCCCAAGGCATGAGTGCCATTTGCAGCCACTTCACAATCTATGGAAAATCCCGGTCTCTCTCAAAATATTATTATATTAAAAAAAATAATGTTGCTATTCCATAAGCAAATGATTTATCCATCAAAAATATTTTTCAGGAAAAGAACCAAAAGAAACCAACAAAAAATTTCCTGTAACTTCCAACGTCTAAGTAGCCCATGAACTTTAATAACATTTATATTACCGAAGAGAAATTGAACAAGAAATTGGACAAGTTCTTCTGCAACTATCTACAGAACCTGTGACCCACCAGGCTGAACACAGCCCACAAACTATGTATGCATGGCCCATCAGGCACTTGACAACCATCCCCTTAATCCCCTTTTCTGCATTCCCAGGCAGCAGAAGGAGGAGCTTTATGCACTTGGTGGGTAAAATGTGTATAACAACTATAGTTATGAAAATGGTCTACTGCTGCCTAATCAAGGGATAATATTGATCAACCAACTACATACTGCAACTCTCATAGAAACCTTATTTAACACCCACTTCGTGTGTAGCAAATTGTTGCTTGACTTCCTCAACATCATCAGATATGACTTCCTGTTCTTGGAATGTATCCTCGGCAGAGAGCAGCCATGTGAGAACTTCTTCCAGAGCTACTTGGTAGCTGTCCAAGTCCATATCAACTTCAGTCACAGTGCTGGGAGTTTCTGCTCTTGAACCTCCATAGTCATCTTCTGCTGTTTCACTCTACAGAGCAGAAAAATCAAACTCAAGAGCCACTTCTTGAAAGCTGTTTTTATAATAACACAAATGCTTATTTAACAGAGATGTTACCACCACATAAAGGGCTGGAGTGGGGGTTGAGAATGCATGTATCAGAATCTTGTGTGTGTGCAAGATTAGGTTTTTACCTTGCAGTGCATGAAATCCAAGGTATCTGGTTCAAGGTATTCAGGGCATGGTTATCAATAACAGATTCAATGTTAATGAAATAAATGACGGAAATTAAGATTAGAGTTGATATTTTACCAAAAAACCATTTGAATGATCTAGGTTTACTAGCTGACATAATTGAGTTTTGCTCTCAATGACATTCATTTTACAAATGCATTTACACAGTGACTTAGATAAAATATTTCTATACCTGCAGAGAAGTTGCTAAGATTCCGTTATCTTACCTCCAAAAGCCTACAACATGACCACTCTACACACAAAGACATATGCCGTCACACTGATATTTTAAAAATTAAAACGGCTTTCATCAAGCACATTAACCATATATAAATTGTTTACTGAGATGTTAATGTTTTTACTTTAGAGAAGTTTTTCATTACAATGCAGTCGTGCAGAAAAACTAAAGTCGCAGGTCTTTCTTATATAAAAAAAATCCTAGAAAAAATTGAGAAACCCCAACACATGATTAAAGTACTTTAGAAGTCTTATCAGCACTTCTGTCTAAAGAGATTTCAGTTGTAAAAATATCCTGTCCTTTTCAAGTACGAACTTAAGTCACAAGTTCAATTACCGGATGCCTAAGTGCAATATGTGGCACCAAACCTGTTACAAGCATTAAGCTAGGATTTCTGACAAGTGCTTCACAAAATACATTCAAGTATATAAAACTTAAAATAGTAACCTCTACACACTTTCTACAACTAGCCTAACAAGAGGTAGGATGTTAACTGGTGGTATGCAAAGTTGAGTTTACACTTTGTCTTATGATTCTATGTGTTACAAGAGTTATGTCAAAAAAACATTCAGCAGCATTGCCTCTTGAAAGGAACAATCAATGACTAGAGCAAAAGTCTAATAGAATTAAAAAATGTTGTAGTGGCTTGACACTTAAAACAAGGACAGAACTACACATTACCGTATTTTTCGCTCTATAACACGCACCTGACCATAACACGCACATCGTTTTTAGAGGAGGAAAACAAGGGGGAAAGAATTCTGAAGAAACAGTGGATGTATCATTTTTGTGCCTCATGCTGTGGCCACAGACATGTGATCTGATGGTGAATTTGGGGTGACCCAATGCAAAAATCCTGAGAATCCCTGTGGATCTGTGCTTTGTAACCACATTTTTGCACCATTGTGGCCCCAGGCAACAGTGGGTGCATGATTTTTTTGGTGCAGGCTGTAGCCATGGACATGCTATGTGATCTGATGGTGAATTTGGGGTGACCCAATGCAAAGATCCTGAGGATCCATGTGGATCCGTGCTTTGTAACCACGTTTTAAGTGGGGAGGGAAGGAAAATCACAGAAGGGACAAGGAGCACAAGAGGGGTGTGCAGAGAATCAGCTGGCTAAGAATGCAGGAGAGGGATTTAACGGGAGGGAGGAAAGGAAGGCAAAAGTTTCCCCCCACCCAGCCACCCAAGCCAGCCCTCTCTCTCTCTCTCTCTCTCTCTCTCTCCCACCTGCATGTTTTCTGGCTGCCTGCGAGTCCCTAAAATGCTTCCCTGGACGCAGCAGCACCGCACGGAGTGGAATTAGAAGGAAGGACACGATCCTTTCCTTTCCCCTCTGCTTGCCTGGAGGGGAGGGGTTGCCTGGAGGGGAGGGGATTTGCCTGCTCTTTGTTCCGTTTGAGCAAACAGCAACCGAAACAGAAGCGGGTGGGCAGTAAGACCCTGAGGCAGAATGCAGGAAAGCAACAGCTTCCTCTCTCGCGGGATTGGACTTTTGCCTGATTTTTGCCCCTGCACTCGGGACAGTCGGCTCCAGGGACCACACATTCGCTCAATAACATGCACAGACATTTCCCCTTACTTTTTAGGAGAAAAAATCTTCGTGTTATAGAGAGAAAAGTACGGATTATGAAGTTACATCATCTTTCCCCTTCTCCCACCAAGAGCTTTCTATTATCAGGTAATAGTAGCTTTATGCTGACTGAAAGACCACAAGAGGTGAATGAAAGAGACCTTTCTCTGCAAAAGTTAGAAGATAACAGGAGATATTTTATCTCTCAGGGAGAAAAACAGCAGGAGAGCAGGCATGATTTTGAAAGGGGGGAAATAGCTGGGATGGAAGAGTTAAGCAGATCCTTTCACCCAAACCCACCCAAATAAAGGTACAAACAGAGGAAGAATCAACTGGAAGGGCATTCTGGTCAGATAGCACTGTGAGGGAAAAGGAACCATCTTAGGCTTAGCTTAAGTCATTTCCAAATGGTGAAAAGAAATGACCCTACCATTTTGATCCAAACTCAAAAATATAGTCAGACAAGCCTCTATTTAATGAAGAGACTGAAACCCAGATTGAAAAGAATAAAAAACAGACTTGGTAAAAAGGAAAGATAGACCCCTGAGTTGGCTGAAGAATTGTTCTTACACAAATGGAAGCATCTGAAAGCAATGGAAGCTTCCACTAGAGCAGCCTTTCTCAACCTGTGGGTCCCCAGATGTTGTTGGACTACAACTCCCATCTCCCCGAGCTAGCAAGGCCAGAGCTCAGGGATGATGGGAGTTGTAGTCAAACAACATCTGGGGACCTACAGGTTGAGAACAGCTGCACTAGAGAAAGGGAGGAAGTGATTTTTGCTTATTTCCCTCTTCTCCTTGCAGCCTCCTATGCCACCTCACACACTGTTCAAAAACCACTCCCCCACACCTTCCAGAGTAGATCTTTGGGAAGTAAAGGGTAACAGGGAATCAGTTAAAACTGCATCTTCTCCCACTCCCAGTGAGAGCATCCCAGGATCAGAGTTCAGGTCCCACGAACTCTAGATCCAACACATTGTCATAGAGCAATGTGCTCCCGAACTTTATATTAAAAAGGGAAAGAAATGCATAAAAGAAAAGAGTCAGGGGATTTTAAAGACCAAGATATAAAGGGAAAAGTAAGAGAACTAAAAATCAGAGAATTCTAAATACATAGCATAGAAGGCTGGGTTGATATAGCAACAGATTTTTTTATTTTTTAAGAGGAAAGTATATTGAGGGGACAAGGAGTTGTACTGGAAAAGAGAAAATATGAGTGCCAGGCCGATAAAGTAACATCAGAAAAAAGGAGCAAAGGAAGATCATCAGATGATACGAAAGAAGAACGGAAGAAAGCTATGTATTTTTGCGCTGCATGACAGAAGCCAGAACCTACTGACCGTACAAGTTTGTATGAGCACTTTTCTATTGACTGTGAAAAGGACAAAAGACACAGGAGCTACCTGGAAGGCAAAATTAAATGTCATACGACATTACACTAAGAAAGAATAGGGAAAACATTAGCACACACCATCTGTATGTCCCCTTCTTCACATTCCTTTTTATATTTCCTTGGAAGAGTCTCCACTTCTCGAATATCTTCCATGGTAACTTGCTGAGGGAGGACCTCAAACAAGGATGTCAAGTACATGATAATGGACTTCTTATCAGGAAGCTGTACAGCAACATCTAAAAACAGAAATTATATGTTTACTGGATATTCTTGCAGGTTTTCAAGCTGAAAACCATGCCCAGAGCCATAAAGCTGTACCCGTATGTTGAGTTCAGGGTTTGCGGAGGGTGGGCAGAGAGATTGCAGAAATGAATCAGCAACACATGTATAGGACACTATCCACCAAGCTGAAAACCATCAGTACTAAATTCTGTCACTTCACTCTCATTATATAGATATATTAAGCACAAGACTACTGGCAGATTGACTGAAATTAATTTTAAAAGGGCGCAGCATGCTTAATTCTGGGTTATTGTTGTGGTTTGATTTTTTCAGAATGTTTTATTTTATTATGTATTGCTCCTTTTCATGTTGTATTCTGGTCTGGGATTGATTTTTGTGAAGAGAAGGTTATAAATTGCCTAAGCAAATTAATAAACGTAGGCTAGGTAAACAATATAGAAATACTGAAGTCTCTGCAGCAACACACTTCGTTTTTTCATATTCAGTATTGGATTGCATTCCGCTGTCGTCATACCCAAAGCAGACCTGCTGAAATTAATGGACATGACTAACTTAAGGCACATTAATTTCAGTGGGTTTACTCTAAACAGAAGTTAGCCAATTATAATCCATTACAGTCCTCTTAAATGCATAAAGATATATATAATCAAATAAAAAAAATTCATCATCCAGACATAAGTGTACTCTGTTGCAAAGAATCATCTTCTACCTTCAGGATCTAACAATTTTTCTATCCCCAGGCGATTTTTGGCTATGTTGAAGGCATGTTCTAGTCTGTCAACTGGAGCCATTTTAGTTACTTTATCCCAGCTAAAGAGCTCGGGCCTAAAATCAGTAGAGAAAACAAAATAAGGGAAGAAAAAAAGGAAGACAACTTGCTTATTCATTCAACACTCGAATCAAGCAGTTATATGTATCATGCGTCCATTATGTCAAATACCACATACAAGAGAAAGATCTGTGCATATGCTGATGGGTATGCTTACTTATTTCTCTGGAAGGAAACTAACATTTCAGGATCCCTGAACTTTCAATCATATGGACAGAACTTACATTCAACCTACTTATTGATCCCAATAATCATGCTAAAGAAATCAGACTCAATTGTTGGGTATATTGTAGGCAGCATGCAGGTGTGCTGCTGATGCAAGGCAAGGCAGCCGTCAATTAATTCTTTGAACAACTTGCTGTTTTCAAAAGTGCTGCATATTTAGTTCACATGTAGTACAGTACTAAGCTAAAACATGGCCTGCTGCAAGCACACAGGCTCCCGAAGAGGAGACTCCAGTCACTTTGCTCCTTTTCTGATCATTCTGTTGCTGTGAGCTAAGTAAGCCATGGACTGGCTTAGTATGTCACCTGTTCCTCTTCTCATGTTTTATCTCTTCCAGACAAATTGTGAGCTGAAAACCAAGAGCACTTTGCTTACCACTTGTGGTTTGAGTGGAAAGAGAACCAAAAAGACCATTTGGACAATGCACAAGCCAAACCATGGTTTAGCTTGTAGCAGGCCCAGACAAGGAGCAAATATCCACAATCTCATCTCCAGGAACACATGCATTCATGCTAAGCCATGGTTATCTTAGCATTATATATAAACTGGGCCAATATGACCTTACATGACTAAATGACTTGTGACTGAATCCCATTACAATGGGACTTAAATTAATTGTGACTAACTGGTTTCATTGTTTTAATGATACTTAGTTATTATTATCTTTAGGTAGTGGTGGCCCTCGCCATACATTTTCACCCCAACAAAATGAACCTTGAACTTTATTTCAACAGTTCCACGGTTTTCAGTGGAACAATATTGCAGTCTTAAGCTTTCAGTGGAAAATAAATGACCTTTATTCATTTCATAATATCTGCATCTATGAATAAATAGTGAGAAGGCACAAGATAAACACATGGAAGTATTAGTGTTGAGCTGAGATTTCTTTTAAAAAAAAACCCTAAATGTTTTCTTACTTTCCCATGTGTGTTTTTAAAAAATAAAAACAAAGAACATGCATTACTGGCTTTGACTGTTGCTCATCACTCAAACATAGTAACCTCAACATTAAAAAAACCACTCAGCTTTCTTTCCAGCTAACATATGCCAAAGTGGGCTTTAAAACAATTCCAAGTATTATTTTTTTTACTTACTGAAAACTGAGTGTAAGCTTTGTGCTCTTTAGGAAAATGTTGTATTGGCAGTTTTCTTCTATTGTCATTTGTTACTGCCATTTTTTTTTATTTAAAAAAAAATGCACCACTTAGCATTAAATTTCCTTACCCACCCCAGGACAAAGAAACTGCAGGCGCTTATTTCCTTAGAACTGCAGCATTTGGCAAGGAGCTACCTACTTGTGCCTGTGGATCACAGCGTTGAAAGCAAGCCCATCTGCCCAGCTTGTGGTGAAGTTCAAAACGTTGACCTCACTGTAAGGCCTAGTAGACTGTCGCACCCAGCTCAGGAGGATCTTCTCACTATTTGTTTGCTGCAAGTCTGACATTATATCTTTCATGACATCTTTAACCTGAAAGAAAGCACAAAAAGGCTTTCAAGTACATATACACAAAACAACTGCCCAAGAGTACACAGAGCCTCTGAAAACAAGATTTCCCAAACCTACGGATCACAGCATTAGCATAAAGGACAGTGACTCACAATCAGCCACATGAAAGAAGCATATGTAATTGTATTTGTTCATATTGATCCTTCCCATCTGTCCCCAATTCTATTCATTTCCAGAATTTATATTGCAGGCTCCCTGGACCTGACATCTTTCTTTTCTCCCTCCCCTATGCTTCCAGTGCCAGTACAAAACTTGCACTAGTGCCCCTTAAGCTGGAGATACAGATGTTAACAATACTCAGCTAGTATTTTCCCTAACTATTGGAACCCATTTTACCAGTTTCTTGGCCAGCTAAGGAGATCCAAGAACACCACAGCCTATTCCTTGTGTGTGTGTGTGTGTGTGTGTGTGTGTGTGCATGCATGCATGCTGGTGAGTAGCACAAAGTTTTGTCAAATGGTTTATTACTATTAGAAGAGAGCTACTTTTCAAGTCGTTTCCCCTGTCCCTGGGGTCTCAGGATTGGTGGGATTGGTTGGATAGATGACATGTAAGGGTTGCAGCAAAAGAAAAACTGCAGATGTGTTCCATTGCTAATTAATAATTCACTTGAAAGGACTGAAATAAGGTATCAAGGTCGCTCACCTGCCAGTGCAAAATTATACTCCATAACAAGCCAAGAGTCAGTTTGTGATTTCCATCAACAATGTCTGTCCCTCCTATGTTCACCAGCTCCACCTGGAACACACATTCAAGTATCATTGCTTTTATTCCAGTCAACACAATTCACTTCTTTAGCCTAGCCATTTTTGCAAAGAAATAGTATAAGCTATATAACTGGATGATTTAATCCCGCTTCTAGAATGTACAAGAAGCAGGCATTAAATGTACAAATTCTAGGAGATATGCACATTTTTATATTCAAGTTTGAAATTAAAATGTCTTCCCCCCCCCCATCAAGTTGTCCCTAGAGATCGTCATCAGTGGCAACCAAATATTTATCTGGTGCCCAAAAGCAACAGCCTCTAGGGAAAGGCTTCCCCCAATTCCAGAAGCAGATTTTGGGGAAAATGTAAAGGAAGGAAGGGCAGAAAATCTCTCTTTAAATCAAGAATTAAATTCAGATCCAAACCTTTATATGTCTAAACAGTACAAAAGTAGACAACATTCTTAATTGTGCAATCACTTTTAAGCTTTCCATTGTTATTTTTAAAAGATAGTTTTTTCTGATGCAGTTCAGGAGACTTGATAACTATTGATAACAAGTCTATAGAAAGTAAATTATAATTTGACTCAGCCCCTCAAAATAAGTTAGCATTCTATCCATCAATGATGCCCAAAGGCATTCAGGAACAAGAAATACAAGTTCACTTCTTGGGGGAGAAATTATCTTCTAATTATAAGTGAAGTATCATTACACATTCTCATCTGCAAAGTATAAACCACTATGGGAACCAAGTTGTAAGCAAGTTGAATTTTATGAAATTCATCTCCGCAACCCCACCCTGTCACCAACAAGACTTTTCAGGCTGCAGTCTAATTGGTAGTTAACTAATTTTAATTCATAGTTACCTTCTCTTCTCCTGTTTCGGGGGCACTGACCATTCAAGGGCACTGAACTTCTAAGCAAATATTTATTTTAGAAACTTACATTGTTCTGATGTAAAACTTGAAGTACTTTGTTGACATTATTCAAGGCATGGACTCTTGTGGATCCACGTTCTTTCAGCTTCAAATAACAAACAATTTTCAGTTATAAGAGGAGAACTAAGATCACAAATTTTCCTTTCATTGTATGATATTTAACAAATAATACTCTCCAGAAGATCAAGAAAGATCAAACAGAATTTCTGAATACATTCTGAATACATGTATTAAATCTAGCCAAATGTATATCCATTTATTTTAGCCAAGCTATGTAATTATAATTCTGCATGATAAACATTGCTTATGGCAGCTTGAACCAACTGTTTTTAATAGAAGACAACTAAATTAGGCGTACACTGGTTGCATTCACATGTAACAATAGAAACTACAGACATTGTAGCAAGCTTCAGGCTCACATACATTCCCCTTCTCTTTTCCTTCTCTCCTAATTCAGGTATGAAGGGAAGAAATTGTCTAACTTAAGCTAGGGGCTAATTCTGTTATGCACATTCTTCTACTGGAAAAAAAATGCAGTGGAAATCCATCAGAGGAAAGGTGCATTAATTGTTCAGCATAGCTGATTAGATTAAAAAATGTTGCCATCACATATTTAAATTTATTACAACTGCAAAAACTAGCAATCCAAGAACCACATGCAAGTTCAAACTGATGCAAAGAACATAAACACATTGACTTTGAGTGTGCTCATTCATAAACTATAGGCAAAGGCCTGCAAAGTATTCTAAATAAGTGAATGATGCCACTCTAACTATACACGCAACATTTGAAGTTCATTTTCTTCATGTTGGAAGAATGCTTTGCTTACCAATGGATTTCCTGTCAGTCCTTCTAAAAGGTCCAAAAGCCTCCTCCCATCTCGGAGATCTGTGAACATATCCTTTATTGGCGGTTTTCCACACTATAAAACAAGATACATTTTAGAATCATTGTAAAATGATCCAAAAAAAGGGAAGTTTGTAGGTATCTTAGTTCCCATCGTGCTTAATATTTAGTTCTACACACACACAAAGAATAAAATGACACAAATATAAGATGTAGCCACAATCTGACTAATTTTGTCTCAAATTTTGTTCTCTCTGCATATGTTCAAGCTTTCCAGATTTCTCAGTGAAATTATTTATATAGACCAAAGTGCCACCAAGGTGGCAACCACTACATAACCTCCCAACAATCTATTTAAAGCAACTATCATCCATTGTCTTCACAGTCTTGATCTGCTATGAAATTATCCTGCAATAATTTTCACCTGGAAGAGTAGATTCCAAATTTTTCACCACTTACGGTTGTCAGAAACGCACAGAGAAAGCCTACTAAGCTTTGCTATACTGTCTGTAAGTCTTGCAGGGAAATGTGCCTAAAATATACCTGTAAATGCTACCACACCTCAAAACACTTTTAACACTGACAGTGTAAACCAGGGATGGGAAACCTGTGACCCTCTAGATTAGGGCGGTCCAACTTTTCATACCAAGTGGGCTTCAATAATATTTCAACACAGAACCCATAGGCCACACACTGCTTGTTGGGTGGGGTGAGGGGGCAAGAGAGAGAGGCCAAAATTTGGTGCTGCCTCACATTGCCTTCCCAAAGCAAGATAACCAAGGAACGGGGCTTTGGGAAGAAGAAACAAGACTCCGGCAGAATCCTAGAGCCCTCCCACCTCCTTCCCGAAGCTGGGAAAGCCCCAGATAGGCTTTGGGAAGGAGACTGGAAAACTCTAGGACAGGGTAGGCAACCTAAGGCCCATGGGTCACAAGCGGCCCACGGGGGTCGTTTAACTGGCTCACAAGCCGCCCCCAAACTGAGCAGCCCGCTAAACCGGTGCAGGGGCTCACTTCCGCGGTGCCGGAAATTGCGTCTGCGCAGACGCCAACACAAAAAATTGTGTCTGCGCAGATGCAGACGCCAGAAATCGCGGGCACTTATACGTGCGAACAATCTGGCCCACCGCCTTGCTTACCTGGCTTTGGGAAGGCAGTACAAGGGCTGCAGAGGGGGGGCAGTGCACAAAAAGCCTCGAGGGTGCCATGTGTTGGACCACCCTGCTCCAAATGTTATTGGATTAAAACAGCTATCATCCCTGATCACTGACTCTGCTTGGCTAGGTAGGACTAATGGAAATTGGAGTCTTGGGGGGCAGGGGGGACACAGTTTTCACAGCCCTGCTGGAAGCGGAGAAAGAAATGTTTAGGATTAAGGTGTGAAGATAATAGTCATAAACTAGTAGGAACCCAAAGTCATTCTTTAAACATACAATTACAGTGGTACCTCGGGTTAAGAACTTAATTCATTCTGGAGGTCCGTTCTTAACATGAAACTGTTCTTAACCTGAGGTACCACTTTAACTAATGGGGCCTCCCGCTGCCGCTGCCCCGCCACTGCGCGATTTCTGTTCTCATCCTGAAGTAAAGTTCTTAACCAGAGGTACTACTTCTGGGTTAGCAGAGTCTGTAACCTGAAGCGTCTGTAACCCAAGGTACCACTGTATGGGCTGCATCTACAAAATGAGAAAAAACACACAGCTGACAGAGTCGTGGTCCATAAGAAGGCAGGGCAAGTGGCAAGGCAAGATACAGTACATCTGAAGCACATCCAGCTCCTTAAAGCTGAGCTTACTAGGGGCACATGAAAAAAAAATGGGAAGCATTGGCTTATTTCAGCAGTTCTGTGCTGTAGGTATTCCTTCTCACTTCTCCCATTCCACATATTGTTATATGATCTTTCTACCACAGAAAGCTTGCAAGTTTCTATGTAACACTAATTTAGCAGCAAGTTCAAGAAACAGTCTTAGTATAGGGACAGAAAACAAATTTCTGGTTCATCTTGCATAATAACTATTATTTACTTTCGTATTTGGACCAAGATTTTTCCATATCATGCCCCCAAGTCATGGGAATTTGATGTGGGAACCATTCACAAAGCAGAAAGGTCACTCTGCAGGGTCGGAAGAATTTCAGTAAATGAAACTGAGCATATTTTTTCCAGTATCTAAATTTAGAGCACCAACTTTATTCAGAAATATATTTATGTAATAAAAGAGAACTTGCGTTTTTTCTATTTGTATTGATGCTAGAAAGTATATGTAATTCCTTTGTAGGCATTTGCTTTGCTGAATCACTTCTATATAATTATATAAGTTAAATTAGTCCACATTCCTCTTTTATACTGATCTCACATTTAAGGGGGGAGAGAGAGTTGCAAAGCCATGAAACGGAAGCAGATGCAAAAGACAATGTGCTGTGCCTCAATTTTTTTAATAACTCTGCGGTCAAAAGACACTTTATACAAGTGTTTCTCAAATTTGGGTACCCAGTTCCTGTTAGACTATAGCTCTCATCATCCCTGGCCACTGGTCCTGCTAGCTAGGGATGATGGGAGTTGTAGTCCAACAACAGCTGCTGAGCCTAGTTTGAGAAACACTGCCTAGGCATTTGATGGCACATGAAACCTTACTGAAGTATGTGTTCATTGATCCTGGCCACAGCACTGAATAGAGTCATTAATGAAGAGAGACATTTTGAATATATATAAAGTAGTTATCATACAGATGTGGTCCACTGAACTGCAAATTATTGTCTTTGTCTCTTCTTTTGTTCCTTATGGCAGGATGGTTTTGTCTTCTGCACCAAAATAGTTATAACTTGATTACTTAGCTCAACAAGTACTTGATTTTTATGAGAACAAACCTACAATCAATTTTCTCCCTATAAAAAATGTAACAGCAGCAAAACTACCAAAGCAACTTTCAATGTAGCTGATGATACAAAGAAGCAGGTATTCTACAATGCACAAAAACTATTGAAATATACATACAACTGCGGTCCAAGCGACTTGTGAAGTAATTATGCTATTATGATGTCTATAAAACTGCTGCAGATGTCACCAATTTCCCTGATTACTTTGTTTTATATAAAAATTACAACATAATCCTATTTTCCTTTAATGTATACATTCAGAAGGTGAACAATGATTGCACGATTAACAATGAAAAGCAGTTAGAGCATCCAGTAACTAAATTATAATGTTTTAATAAAATCCTCATGGTTCACATCTATAATTTTATAAAAGTGACATAAATCATCATCACACACACACCCCCACACACATACACTCATTCTTACTTATTTGTACTTCTCTATCAACAATATCCTAATGATCCCAGTGCTGACTTCCAGATATTAAATTTTATGCCACAAAAATATTACAGTTGTTTTGTTGATTGTTATTGTTTTCCTGGTGATTTTTTAATTGTTCTATATTATTTGTGCTCTGTGATGTTCTATTATGCCAGGGGTGGGCAACCTAAGGTCCATGAGCTGGATCCAGCCCAATCACCTACTCTATCCAGCCTGCGGACGGTCCAGGAATCAGCGTGTTTTCACATGAGTAGAATATGTCCTTTTATTTAAAATGCATCTTTGGGTTATTTGTGCGGCTTGCCTGGTGTTTTTACATGAGTAGAATGTGTGCTTTCATTTAAAATGCATCTCTGGATTATTTGTGGGGCATAGGAATTCATTCATGTATTTTTTTTCCAAAATACAGTATAATCCAGCCCACCACATGATCTGAGAGATGGTGGACCGGCCCATGGCTGAAAAAGGTTCCTGACCCCTGTATTATGCTATTGTTATTGTTATTGTTTGTAAGCCACTTTGCGATTCATTTGAATGATTATATTTCTATGCCACTTTATCATCAATCAATCAAATCGCTGCAGGGGAGGAAACTCGTATTTGCAGCAGGAAGCAATCAGAATTAAAAATGCTTGCTGCTAATGGAGCATGTTTCCTTTGTAGACACAGATGCTTCATTTGCAGGAAGTAGTTCTGCAGCAAATGGCTTTCGAAAGAAGCCACCAATCAGCTGATTAAAATGCCTATTTGCTTTCCTGCCTCTCTTCCCTGTTGGGAAACACAACTTTTCAATTCTAAAATGTAACCCAGTATAATTTTGTGAAGCAGGAAACAGTCAAACAAGAAAGCTAAAAAGTGAGCTCTTTGGACTGTTCTAGAATAACTCTACAATTCTTCAGCAGCTTATAATGCTCAGAAATTGGCAGTTGTACTCGATCAGAACGCAAGTTCACTGAATGTTTTCATAAAGTCAAATTGTGACAGAGCATACAGAAAGGCAATCTTCAAAATCCATTTTAATGCATTCAGGATATTGCAAGCAGAATCTAATTATAATATGACAACATTAAATTCTCCCGATACTGCTATGGACAGAACTATGACTCCTGGCATATGAATGAATTTAATCATGCGTCACAATTTGTTTTTGTTTTGTTTTTGAAAGGATATTAGCTCGACAATTCTGCTGCTGTTGTTGTACAATGCCTCTTCACAGTGGGAATGCAAGAAACGGCACCATAAGGCAGACTTCTCCAACCTGGTGCCCTTCAGATGCTTCAAACTATAGCTGTGCTAGCTTGGAGGAGGTTGATGGGAACTGTAGTCTGAAGCATTTGGAGGGCACCAAGTTGGGGAAGACTGGTTAGTGGGGGAACAGGGATGCCCCAGATCCCTTGGTGCCAGATTTCCTCCTATAGAATCTTTGGTGCTGGGTTTAATCAGAACTGTCAGGCGGAGCTTGTTTTTCTGTCAGCCAGACATAGGGGCAAAGGGAGATGATTGCCGACCATTAACCCATCTACAAGACAAAAGACTCCACAGGCAAGAGGGGGGAGGTTGCCAAGGCAATGTGGGCACTGTGTCACAAAGGTAAATTGTCACCTTTTAAAGCTAGGCATGGAATAGTGTGGGAAGGGGGAGAAGCTGCTTGGCAAGGGGTTTTCTGGGAAGGAGAAGCAGGAAAAAGGTAGACCTTCATATGAGAGCTGAAGGTCAAAACCATCTTGTCGTGCTGGCTGAAGGCAGGCTGAATCAGAGACATCTTGGAATCCAATGCTGTACTGCTGTGGAGAACATGCCCCCCTTGAGATGTGAAAGCCTCTAAACTCTGCACTCCCTCCATTGAAAGCTTCCGGTGTAAATATGTGTAAAATAAACCATATTTCTTAAAGACATCACAGTCTCGGCTGTGCCTTGATTCTCAACGGAAACACAATCCTGGGTAACCATCTGGAAACCCCTGGAATCTGGCTACCACTCAGCAGAGATTAGGGGTGGCAGACAACCTTTATAACATTACAAATCACTCTGCGGATGTAATTGTTTAGCTTGTTAGGGATGATCTGAAAAGACTATGCATTGTAACCCAATATAACAGTAGTAGTAGTAGTAAATGTATTATCTGCCCTTCACCCAACAAGTCCCAGGGTGGGCTACAACAATTTAAAATTCAGTGTTAAAAACACAGAAGAAAAAATAATAAGTCACAGGAAAATGGTGTTTCTTGAAAATGCACATCTTGGCTGTCAAAAGCTAGGGTAAAGGTTATGTATATACTTATCAGGTTTTAAGCCACCCTTACCTTAGAAAAGCGAGCATTTATCCATTTTGTGAAGGTTTTCTTTTGTACGTCATTGTGCTCATCTAGAAATTAAGGAAATAAAAGACATTAAAATATATTTCTCAGACTTGCTAAATGTCACTCATCAATCATCATTATTTTGTGGAACTGCCCTCAATAAGAAAAAAACTGATTCCAGTCTCACTTGGAAGCAAAGGGTTGAGAGGACCTCTTAGAAATGATTTTCAGGGCAGAGGAACATCTATCAAAATTCTAGAGTGATGAATATAGAAACCAAGAATAAGTCTCAAATACCTGCACCTCCCCACCTCAGAAGGAGAATGGGGAATCCCCAACATAGAAGCATAATACAATGCCAACCAAATACGCCATATAATCCCATATATACTAGAAGATGAGACAAAACAATGGGTACACCTAGAGAGGGACACAATTGAAAATACCTGCACCACAACATACCCACTCCTCCCAAACAAACTAAAGAAAATTCCCACAACACTTAACAGGTACACACAGACCATGCTCAAAGCATGGAAAACACAAATAGGCAAACTATCCCCAACCCTATCCCCACTAATCCCCCTGGCGTACCACCCATTATTCCACCATGCAGCACAAAACCTCCACAAAACCTCCAGATAAAAACCTGGCAAACCAAAGGCTTATATCGCCTAATAGACTTTTATAAAAATAACAAACCCTTGTCAACACAAGAAATACAAGACAAACTAGAAGACACCCAAATGCCCTGGTTAACACAACACCAACTACATGCCCTCTTAAACAACCCAACAGTAAAATCAGCAGCAACTAGGCCCCTGACAACCTTCGAAAACCTCCTCCTAACAACAAAGGGAAACAGTAAAGGGACGGTATCCGCAATATACAAAATACTACTCTAAAATCCCGCAAATCCCTTAGATGCAATCAAAAAACAATGGGAAAATGACATAGGCTATGAGATTAACCCCACTCAATGGACCAGAATGTGGTCTAAACCCCCCTTTAAATCCATATCAACAAAAAGAAAAGAACTCACACTGAAACTCACCTACAGGTGGTACCTAACACCAAGGAAACTAGCGATAATACACCCAGGAACCTCACCAAAATGCTGGAGAGGGTGCACCTCCACAGGCACATACCTCCACATGTGGTGGGAGTGTCCCAAAATCCAACTATTCTGGACAACAGCCATACAAGAAATATGTAAAATAACTAAGCAAGTAATAGACATCACCCCAGAATTGGCCCTACTAAACATCTTCCAATACAACAATGCCCATTTACACCACAAAGTACTCATAACCCACCTACTTTCAGCAGCCAGAAACACCATAACCAGACACTGGAGAGACCTGTCAGGAGTAAACATGGACCAATGGTACCAAATAGTATGGGAAACAGCCCTACTAGAAAAATTAACTAATAAACTGAAACTGACACAGAGACAAACAGAAGAAGACGCCTTCACCCCGGTATGGCTCCCCTTTATCACATACACAGCCCAACAGGACAATGACAATAATCCACCAACAGCATACAAATCAATATGGCTAACCTGATCCAAAACACCCACCCACCTCACTCACACACGAAAACAAAGATCACCACAGCCAATCACAAGCAAACAATCACACCCAAGGCCAACCCCAACCTCTCTCACCACCAAAGGAACACAAGTGAACAACACAAGCAACGCTGACACCAAACTCTACATACATTAAACATAATAGAAACACCGCCACCCAACCCCACCCCCATCCATCTTCCCTCTCACCCCCCCCCCGTTCTTTTTTCCTTTTTTTCTTCTCCCCCTAATGCCTCAACAAATGAAACGGATTTGTAAAAATGTTACATGGGGGGGGGGGAAATACGAGGCATTACACGTACTTCTGTAAAACAAGAAAATCCTTAATAAAATATTTTTTTTAAAAAAACTTGAACAAGCACCATACTTCTTCATTAACTTAGTTTGATTTAGCAGGTTTTTATATGACTAAATGGAAAAAATCCTAAGTGTTTTACTATTTGTTAAAAACAAATGGAAACAAAAACAAACATTAAAAACAGTTGACATAATAAAATAATCAAAAATAGATAAAAACAATAGTTTATAAAAACATATACCTACACATATTGAAATTACATGTCTGGATTGACTTGCTTAAACAAAAAAGGTTTTAGCAGGTATTGAAAGTACAATGAGGAGGCCGGCCTAATATTAATAGCCAGGGCATTCCTGAGACTAGGTGCTGCCACATTCCAAGATGGATTTACTTGCAACTGTACAACCATCTTCATGCAGCACTTGGAAAAGTGCCAGTTCTGCAGATGAAAGCAGTTCTTCGAGTAAACTGGTCCCAAACTGCTACGGGGCCTTATATACTCCTTATTAGTAAAATCCAGAAAATGTCATGTTGCTGACAGATTTAGTCCGTTCTTCCTTCTAGAAACCAGGTTTCAGATAGTTTTCAAAAAGGAACTCTCAAAGTCCTCTCTCAAGAAGCTATAAAGGAAAGCTTACAGTTTCTCCAGCCTACATAACTACTGAAAAGCAGCAATATTGGGCCAGTGTACCTTCAAGTAATAACTATAGTAGGATCAGGCTACACAAGTATGTGTTCACTCTGTGTAAAAAAATAATAATAATAATGAATCAGTGTTATGCTAGCACCTACAGTGATCTGTCTTAATGCAAACTGTTATGTTTTCTAAATTATTATTTGCAACCAGATTCAAGAGCTGGATAACAAATGCACCCTGGTTAGCGGCTCCTTTTGGAATACTGCACACGTTTTTGCTTACTCCATCTCAAAGAAGTTATGAAAGAATACAGAAAAGGGCAGCTGTCAAAACGGAGGAGTTCTATACAAGGAAAGGTTAAAGAATACAGCCTTCCTTACTTTATATAAATAGGGTGGTTGACATTATAAACATCTGAATGGCTCCACTGTATGCATCATTTCTGTGCTGATCAACTCCAAGTAAATTCAGATACCAACTTGGAATCAGAGGAATGTGCCCTGGGAATGTGGTCTTTTTCTCTGCAAGCAGCACTTATCTCATTCTATTTACATTTTCCTTCTCCTGAAACTGAGTCAGAGGGGAAGGTGTAGTAAGCTCTAATTAGCTGTTTATTGGGGGTGGATGGCTAGGTACTCTAAACCACTGAGCCTCTTAGGCTTGCTGATCAGAAGTTCAGCAGTTTGAATCTGTGCGACTAGAGTAAGCATGTGTTGTTCTGTCCCAGCTTCTGCCAACCTAGTGGTTCGAAGCACACCAGTGCAAGTAGATGAATAGGTACTCCTGCGGCGGGAAGGTAAAAGGCATTTCCGTGCACTCTGGCTTCTGTCACCATTTGCCAGGTTGCAATTTCTCCTTTGCTTTGACACAATATTCATATATCCCTAAAGCTCCTCCTTTTACTAAACAAACGTCTATGCTAACGATTCAGAGAATAAGGCAAAGCAACATTTCTTGCAAAAGAATATGTGCTGGAAAAGTTTCAGATGTTTAAACTGCTTTTGACATCACCCATTACACAAAGTCACAAAAAGGTCAACATTCTTTTTAACTAGTTCTTAAAACTGTCCTTTCCTTTAATTGCTGAAAATGAAATTTTTACACTAAGGAATTTAGAAATAAGAGGAGGAATTAGCCTGTGGGTTTTCAATGAGGCACCAGGAATGTAGCAGAATTACAAACTTGCACTTGCCTGCCTTTGGGGATTTGTACTACTGTGGGTACCTCAAACTTATTCATAGGTCTTCCAGCGGGAGCATGAGAATGGAACAAGAAAAAATATATTTGTTGTTTACTAAAACATGTATATCTTGCCTTTCTACTTCACTTCATCAAATCTGGCCCTCTCTGGAAAAAGTTTGGACACCACTGGTTTAAGTCAATAGATTTCATTGCCTTGCTTACTTAAGGTGAAAAACAGCTGAATGAGAAAGTCATTATATCTTAACTAAGTATATTTACAATGTTATATTTAAGCACTCTCTCAGTAGTCATAAGTGTTAAAGAATAGTATTCAGGCAAGTTAGTGAACTGATACAGGGTGTTTGTGTGAAGTGTTCTGCGTCAAACACAGAAATCAAGTGGAGTACCAGAGGAAGGACTGAGCTTTCTGTCCCTCCTCTGCCAGTCTCCAACAGGCAAATAAAAGCAAAACAAAGCCTGCAGGACATTTGTGACACAAATGCCCCAAACCTGAATTTGACCCCATTCTCCATATATAAGAATTCAACTGAAAGCAAACATGCACATTCTGACCTCTATTCATATTTCCCCCTGTAATTAATACACAGCTTAAGGTTCCTTTTTGTACAAATATGACAAAGGAGGAATACTAAAAAGGAAGAATGTGTGATTGCGCTCTCCAGATTTTGTTTGTTTGTTTGTTTGTTTGTTTTCAAGTAGGTTCTATGCTACACACAAACATGGCAGCCAGCAAGAGGAGGTTGAAAAGGAACATCTTATGACAAGCACCTCTCTTACTCTCCTGCTCTGTATTGCTGTGGTACGTTACTTTTTGACATTTGAACAATATATCAACAGATTATTGCAGGCCCCTTTTTTCTAATTAATCTTCCATTAACCTCAATGGATTAGCTGTCAACTGAGCCAACTAACCTCTGTGCTGAGTTCCCTGCTTGATTAACTATCTTGGTTTGGGGGAATCATATATTCTGCTCTGCCTACTGAAGCTATGGCTGAAGACGCATTTCCACAGATGGAAGATGGCTTCAGCTCACTGAAGGGCTGCTGTATACTTAGTACAAAGCACTATATGAGAAAAGTGCAGCTAAATACAAAAGTGAATGTTCTACTTACAAAAGCACACCCAAACCACGAAGCATTGTGTCCTGCTAGAACAGTGTTGTGCAAGTGTTTGAAGAACACTGCTCATATCCTTTTCCCTCTCCTTTGGATCCAACTTTTTTTTTTTTGGTAGTGCATTGTAACACATGTTTATCCAGTGAAAACAATGCTGAATCTGAAAATGGTAAAGCATTAAAAACCTTTTGTTTAAGCATGTCCTATTCTAGTTAAGTTTTTTTTCCCCCATGCACTGCTCTGGTTCGCCAGAAGCAGCTTGGTCATGCTGGCCACATGACCCGGAAGCTGTACGCCGGCTCCCTTGGCCAATAAAGCGAGATGAGCGCTGCAACCCCAGAGTCGGTCACGACTGGACCTAATGGTCAGGGGTCCCTTTACCTTTATTCTAGTTAAGTAGGGCAACTCATTTAATAACACACTACAGGCAGATAGATTATCTAGTAAAATCCACTGATGGGAGAGAACGTTTCTTTGGAGAGAAGATGATCCTAGACAGTCTAAGCATGTCCGGATTTCAACGAGATATTTCATGAGCACATCATTCAAACTGGATACACACATTCCAAACTCTGTATTGCATTATGTGCTTGGGGAGAATTATAGGAAACCTGAATGAACATCACTCAACTGTTTGTGGGATTTTGTTCAGCCTGTAACCAATGGGAGGGGTATAATTAATTAATACTATTATTATATTTAACCATATTAAATAGAGAGACAGAGAAGTATATCCAAAACCCTTTTTAAATTAGAGCATTCATCATTGCTAGATCAGTGACAGAGTCATCCAGGCCAACATCTTATTCTCCAAAATAACCACAAGATGCCTCTGGGACAACCACCAGCAGGACATTAAAGCAAAGAGCCCCCATACAGCAGCTGAACTCGGTGGCCTCTGAACAGGGAGGTTTCATATACCTATCATTGCTGATAGCCTAATCCCATTTTAAATCCCTTTAAAGGCCAGATGCAGAATTTACTGTACTGTCAAAGATAGGAATCAAAGCTAAATGAGTTTCTAGCTCTCTTATGCTGGCTCACAAATCAGCTTAATTCATGTCACATGCTTTTTTTAAAGCATGAAATACATTTTTAAAATTTCTCACAGAGCAGAGCATACAACTTTAACCGTTTAAAAAGCCAAAAACAAAAAACCATTTGATTTCACTTAGTATTTTAATATTTGTATTCTGCTTTTCCAACAATAATGCTGAACTCAAAGCAGCTCACCCTAGTAACATTTAAAATTAACATTACGGTAATTGTGATCATATCAAAAGAACAAGAGTATATAAAAGAAGGCACAAATTAATCAAACAATACAATTCAGTACAAACTCTTAATGATTCGAAATATCAGAAAATGCTGCTGAGCCCTAGCCCTGTGCCAGCTGGTAAACTCTCTCTGGAAAGGGACTTCTTCATCTGGTGTTGCAAGGGCCAACAGCATACTCCCAGGCAGTAATATCTTTCATAGTTAAATTTTTTAAATGCTATTTATACAGCAGTAGTTAAAAGCATCTGCAAATGTTCTTGTATCCTATTTTTGGAAGAGCTATGAAAATTATACCCAATTCAGATATAATTTTGCCAAATACTCTTGCGTGTGTGTGTGTGTGTGTGTGTGTTCACGCATGTACAAAATGTTCAGCTTGCACTAAAATGCATACTCCACTTATCAGCCAATCCCAAATCCAGAGGCATGTCAGTTGCACCACAGAAATCCCTTATCTCAAGATGTTGCTTGCATCAAAAGGCCTTTCAGATTTGAACAGGACAAACCCACGCCCCCTACACTTGATATCAATGATTACCAAAGGTTGTGGTATGATATATCATAATTATATGTACTTATTTATTCAATAACTTTAAAAAGCAGCTATGAGGTTCAGCTAAGGAGAAAATGCTTGGCACACTCTTAGCGTTCTGTGCACACAACTTCTGTCCAGTGATTGTGGCTACTCCTTGTATCAGACAAAAATGACTTCCAGACACGTGCTAATTCCTTCAAACAAGGAGTGGGCCATACGCATGTACCCAAGGTTTTGTGAGTTCTTTTTGCAGAATGCCACTCATGCACAAAAACAAACAGCATTTAAGTGCCATAAGAAAGAAATGGGTGGGAAAAATCGGCAAAGTAGCAGTGAAGTGACAAGCAGCAGCCTCCTGGAGAGACTGAGTAGGAACATACAGCTCTTCTGCTTAAAAAGAGTTTAACAAAAGGACTGGGTTTCTCCAATTACCACCTTTTCTGTGCAAGCAGTTTATCTAGAAACCCACAGTATGCACAATTCAATAGGGGAAATAACTTGCCAAAAGGACTGAACAAATAAGAGCCCCAAAGCCTTAGTAATGCCTATAATCAGATAGCCGCATAACTATGTGCCTTCTATTCATGTCATGTTGGCCATTATTACACCTCAAGCTTTTAAAGTGGCTGAAAGAAAGAACATAAGATGAATATCAGCATAACCTTACAAAAACATGGGGAGTTAAGTTGCGCTCATTGAATAAGTGGGGGAGGGAGGGAGGCCTGCAGTCAAAGCATTTGTATTATACAAGTAGCTAGTACTACTTGAAAAGCAAACTAGCTGAACTGTATCTTGTCCACTGTTACCTTTAACATAGTTACCCATTTACATTCCATAGGCATTTTAATTCCATTGTGATGAAAGATTTTTGAAGCAAACCTGTGATACAAAACTATTCTGAATCTAGTTTGAAAAATAAAACCCCACTGTGGGCTGCCTGCCATGAAGCTGGCCAGGAGAGGTTCCTGTTTCCAAATGAGATTGTCTCTTGTATATTGAAAGGTTCAAACCCATTCTCTTGCTATCTTTAATCCTAACTACTGCCAGCCTAACAGACATTTATTATGTAATAATAATTCAGCTAATTTTCCCATTAACTTTCAGTTAACCGCTTTCCTTCCTGCTTACCTCTCAATTTCTCAACCATGTTACATAGTCTGTAATCATCTAATAACTATGGCAACCTTTATTTGTTATCAGGATTTATATATTGCATGTCAAATATCCAAGGCAGATTGTAAGCTAGAACCCAGGTGGGGAGGCAAATATCAGTGACAACATTCTAAAAAATAGTGTGCAGAAATCAGCTTTCAAAATAAGTTTACTGAGACAGGTTTTAAAACCCCAGATTCTTCTGTACTCTCTTCAAAAGGCTACCCCGCAATTGTGCACATTACACAATTGTCTAATCTGGAAGTGAACAGAGAATAAAATAACGGAGGTCAGCTCTGATTTCTGGTTCCTTTAACAAAAATGCAGTTGGCATAGAGGACAAAGGTGGTAAAAGGCACTCATGGCCACACTTGCCATCTAGCCCTTCAGGAATATCTCCACAGTACAAGCCTGCTACTTCAGGGAGAAAACAATCTTCAAGACAGATGTTGCATTGCAATTATATTCTTCCATCTTTCTAGTCCTTTTGAAAACATGTGTGCTGTGGGATGGGGTGGCTATAAAAGGGGATATGAACGTGAAAATATAACATGTTGTCCTGAACTAAAATCAAATAGGGCCCTGCTGGATCAGACCAAAAGCCTACTTAGTCCAGCATCCTGTTTGCCACAGGAACCAACTAATGAGCAGCTCAAAAACTGCATATGAGGGCAACTGAAATCATGTTCAGGCAAGATTTCAAGGGAGATATTCTGCATTTTTATCTGTCCTGAACATAGGTACCAAATTTGAATCATGCATCACAGTCGTCAGGGCTACTGCATTACAAACAGGTAAGGAAACAGGTTACTGCATTCACCACCAGGTAAGGAAATCTAAAACTGCAGCTAAAATGCTCAAAATGCCTTACTTACTCTGCTTTGCAAAGTCCAGTTCAATTGGTTTTGTGCACACACATCACCCTCCCTGGCAAAAGAGTGGGAGCAACTGAACTGGGCTTTCTACAAAGCAAAATGAATGTGCTCACCAACTTTCATTCCAATATTCCAAGATATTACATTCTATTTGCATCTTTACTGTCGCCCTTAAACAGGTGTTCAGACACAGTTAGTAATCAAATCTGAAATACAGACTTTCACCCTGAACATGCATGCCAAATTATCCTCCAATATGTCAATTTTTAGAGCTTTCATGTTGCAAACATAAAAAATACAAAGTTAGCAAATCATATGTTGAACGGGGGGGGGGGGGATGGTTTTTTTTAAAACCCACCTTGTAACTTTTTTGTATTTTATTCCAGGACTACTGTTTCAAGACTATTGTATATGTAAACCTAGGGCAAATATAAACACAAAAGCAAACACTGAAACACAATGTGAGGCAAATAGTATTTATTTTATATATAATCAACAAGCGGTTAAATCTTGCAAGTTAACAGAGCCCTTGCCAGCTCTTACATACAGAGCCAAAAGTAAAAATATTTTCAACACATTCTAGAAAAGTCTTTAGTCATTTATTTTCATTATTTATGTCTTTCAGTAACAGACGTTCTCTGGATAGTTTACAAGTAAAATTCTCATAATATTTAAAGATCCAGTAGGAAAATAAGATTGAAAACAAACAGAATAAAACCATCATGTCACTCTGATGCAATGAGACCAAGATCTGTGCTACATTAAAGACTTATTTACTGCAGTATGAGTTTTCAGAGGGAAGAACAAATTTCGCCAAATACTTCTGGCAGGCACTCTTAAGACTACTGCTACTTAATCTTGTATACAAATATTTAATCTTCTGGCAGATTTAAGTAACAAATAAAGGATTTGGAAAGAGTAGCTCAGCAGATATTAACACAATATGGAGTGAGAGTAGCTTAATAATTTAGAGCTATAAAGAACCTACTTTTAAAAGGAGGGGAAGAAATATATCACTCTAAGCCAATGAACTTTTTCCAGTATTAAAAAACATTCTACACTTTAAATACCATTTTGAGGGTGAGTTGCCATAGAGATGAAGAAATAAAACTATTTTTTGTGCAATGTTATTATCCAAGTTGTGTACGCAGCCTGCTTTACAATATCAGTTGGATTTATATACAGTTCTAATCCTGAAACAAAACCACAACAAAACAGATTTAACGTTACTACACTGAATGGGACTACTTCAAAGGATTTAGCATCCTATATAGTAGTATCTGAGTATTAACCAAAAGGTATTTGTTACAGAGACAATTGTTGCCATATTGATCTGGACACATCAGATGCAACATAGGTCAATGACATGTTTTATTGAACCAATTTCCATGTGTATAGAAGCAAGTTTCCAAAAACATCAAATTGCTTAACTTAAGAACTGCATCAACAGACCATTACCGGTGGAGAAGGGGAGCCAACATGGAAGTTCTCTAAATTATATCAATTGTAAGCCTAACAATTTCTATCAACTAATACATTGTGTTACAAACATTTATCAGCTTTTTAGTGCTTAAAACTATTCAGGCATCGTGGTTTCTCTCCCCCTGCCCCCCAAAAAACCCCCCACAGATTTACAAATGCCTCCATGTGGCAAGGAATTATTTCCATTAGACACATACATAGAAAATGTTAACTTTTCAAAGTATAATAGCAAACCACATGACCACAACAGCCAAATATTAGTTACTTCAGATTAACAAATATTAATCTTCAGAGTAACAAATATTAGTTACTTCATGCACCCAACATTCATCATTTGTGCACAACGATCAGTGTCGTCTAATAATGAATCCCAGATTTGAAAAGTCCTGATCTCCTCCTGTCCACCATTTCACCCAAGGAAGACAGGCATAACCTTCCCACTAAACTCAAAAAATAAACAAGCAAAGGACAGGTCCTGTCTGGAGGAAAGATTGAGAAATTCTGGTGGAAATCTTCACCAGCAATAACCACAACAAACATTTTCCCCTGCTCCAAGAGGTGTCTGTCATCACCTCAGATACCCCAAAGTGTCTGTCAGCCACCCAACCCCCACCTTTCCTTAAGGTGTTTAAAGACTACCTAGCAAGTGTGACCAGTGCTCTGATTAGCTGAAAAAATGCCAGCTTACAAAGAGGGCTGTGGCAACTGACCATGCATCTGAGATTGCTCAGGAGAAGACCAGAAGTCTGTTGCAAGCAGCAATATTAGGTTTGATAAAAGGAACCTTGTTGTTTCAAATCCAGTTTCCTTATTCTGCTGTGACCACCTGTCCTCCTCTCTTCCTTTTTTATTCTTAATACAATTTCATAATAAAACTGTTGAGGTCTCAAGCATGTTTATGCCAAACTCTAGGGTTCTTGTAATCTCCCACTTGCCTAGCTGCTGGAAGCATACTACTTGGGGGAAAGAGTGGGGTTTCATTGGGAAAGAGCAGGCTGTGCTGAACCCCAGCTTGGGAAAGGCAGCTGTTTTTCCTGATAACTTGAGAGGGATTTGGCTAAGAAGTGCAACACACCTGGTGCACCCTCCACTTCTTTGCCAAATCCCTCTCAAGTTATCAGGAAAAACAGGGCTAAACGGCCTCGGTCCAGTATACCTGAAGGAGCGTCTCCACCTCCATCGTTCTGCCCGAACACTGAGGTCCAGCGCCGAGGGCCTTCTGGCGGTTCCCTCGCTGCGAGAAGCCAAGTTACAGGGAACCAGGCAGAGGGCCTTCTCAGTAGTGGCGCCTGCCCTGTGGAACGCCCTCCCATCAGATGTCAAAGAGAAAAATAACTACCAAACTTTTAGAAGACATCTGAAGCCAGCCCTGTTTAGGGAAGCTTTTAATGTTAAATAGGTTATTATATTTTAGTGTTCTGTTGGAAGCCACCCAAAGTGGCTGGGGAAACCCAGCCAGATGAGCGGGGTATAAATAATAAATTATTATTATTATTATTATTATTATTATTATTATTATTGATCTCCCAGAATTCCTTCCTGTCTAGAGTGTTGGAGGAGGGTGGTGGCAGAAAATACCAAATAGTTTGGGAGGCAACCGACCTTTCTTGCATGGCACTTGTTGTGCAAGGAGGGGTGTATGCAGGCTCTCCTGGCCTCCCCCTTCCAAGCCTTACTATTCTTAGAGGGCTGTTTTAAGGCTAGCCCACCTTACATTCCTGGAGATTCTTGGAGGAAGAGAGGGGTTACAATGTAACAAGCCTGTCAACTTGATTTGTTTAATTAAAGTGACTCTTCTGTCACAGAGAGGGGAAACATGTGGCCCTATAAATGGACCAACTCCCATCATCCATGAACTCACTATTTGGGATCGATAAGAGTCATAGCAGCAGCATCTAAAAGACACCACATTGGCTGCCCTTGCACCAGTGACTTAATTAGATTTATATTGCTAATTCACCATGAAAATGGAACAAGTTATAAGTCGAAATAAAGCAATATAATCAAGTTCATTGAATGATGATAAAACTAATCAGTTCAGAAGATGGTTGATAGACAGACTTTTTTATATATAAAAAATGTTTTCAGGTATTTTTCTCTCTCAACTTTGCTCAGCAAATTCTGTTCTGCCTTGAAAACAACTTTGCCTTTGTAATCTACAATTTCGGGTGGGGTGGATTTTTATTTTAAGCCTAAAACTGAGAAATGCTTGTTGGCGCCAGGCAAGCCCTGCTTCCACCCACACAGATTATTTTTGGAAGATCAGCTTTTCACTTTCTATAACCACAGATCAAAGTGCATTGTGTCATACTGCTAACTACCTGATTGCATTTGACTAGTACAAACAATGTTTAGGCTGCAATCTTACTAGGAAAGGCAGAACAACGCAAATGCGCCTTTACTGGAGCCCTCACAGTCATTTCTCTTCTATCCCTGCCTATCACCCTGATGGACACTTAGCTAGTTACTGTAATAAACTTAGGGAGGAAGACATATTAATAAGCCACATAAATGCTCCTCATCTTTGCTTAGATCATATTGCTGAGTACAGTGGAGCCAATCCCCTTTTAATAAATACTAGTTGTCTGTCAACACAGATTTCGTTAAACAGAAGACACTCCTATGCAGACAGAGATAAGGGGAAAAAAACCTTAATTAACTTTGCTGTAATATGATCCACATTCCAGAGTTTTATTTAGATGCACCATAGATATGTCATTTTCAAGGCATCCATCTCTTACACCGTCTCAACCGTGGCTATAAAAAGCAGTATCTTTGTCCCATTATTATTATTTTTAAAAAAGATTATTAATGCCACCTTTCCTTCCTCACTTTTAATATAAGAACCTAGTTTACTGTGGTAAATTTTTAATATAAGAACTTAGTTTACTGTAGTAAAGATGTTTAACTTCATTCATAAAAGGAAAGAAGCATCAAACTATCAACTGCTCCTAAATTTTTTATTGAAAATACAAAATATATTGAATAAAATTGAAGACAAAACTTTTTGCATTTATTCAGTTTACATACAGATATCATATTCATTTACAAGTGAAGAATCCTCCAAGTGCTTTCTATTAAAGTGGAAGGGCACAGTTTGATGTAATTAACATTACATCCTGACTTCTGGATGTTTACTCAGAAGTAAGTCCTACTGTATTAAATGGGCCTTAATCGCAGGAAGCCTGTGACCTTCTAGATATTGCTAGACTACAACTCCCATCATCCCTAACCATTGGCCCTACAGGCGGGGCTAAAGAAAATTGGACTACAACAATATCTGGAGGGCCACTGGTGTTGCCTTCAGGCTAATTCATTTGCCATGCTAAACCATAATTTAGCGCTATGTGGATAAGCTTCCAAAGAATTGGGCTTGCAAGCTTTCTCCTCTTGTGCAGCTAGGAAGAATACAATGTTTGTTGAATTGAGTTTATTCAAAAGAAAAAAACTCTGGTCCACGGCTGGACAATACCTTTATTAGAACCAACCCAAATATAACAAAATTGTGTCATACTTTAAAATTCTCCACAATTCTTCATCAGGCGAAGCCCAAAGTAGGGAGGTGTGAAGAACAAAAAAGGTACAAAAATTAGGCTGGTGGTGCAGCCACAAAGACAGCTTGTATACTCCATTCCAAGACACAGATTTCAGGCTCTGTTAATCCCTCCAAAATGCTACAGATATCAGGTTAGACACCTAGGATTTTGGGATAAAGAAGCAACGGCCACTGACCATTTCTGTAAAAATGAGTTCTGACTTGTTCTATCTCATGCCTTAAATGCAACACAGATTAGTGGGTAGGCAGAGCGTTGAGCTAAAGAGAAACACAGCATCTTTAATTTAATCTGTGTACTGTACTAGGTAAAAAATATTCAACTGAAGTCAAATTGTTGCCTAACAGTTGGAGAGGATGCAATCCTCAAACTGCAAAGCCCATCTCCAGGTAATAGAAAAATTCTCCTGAATATAGATTCTGCTCTAAGTAGTTAGCTTCTCTATTTCTCAAGACACATAAAAAGCAAAGGTAGTCATGCTTGTCCATAAGAAAAAAAATCACAGATGGGTGTTGTCCAACTTTGGATTTAGGAGTTTTTCCCTTGCACCTTATGCAAGTTCATTGTGTTAATTTACATCTCCTTAACAAAACAGAACTGAAAAATAAGTTTATGTTTCAAATACTGAGGCATCCACAACCTGTTTGATAATAAAGATGTAAATTTTGATAGAAGGGTGTTGATTTTTCTTCACCCACTTTCATTTAAGGTCTTCAGATGGGGGGGGGGGGAATCACTCAAATAAAAATTTAACACTGCACATTTTAAACATTTGGATAATGACTCATATCCTTCCTTTCTAATACAATTACAGTTTTGAATCCACTGGGAAGTTCATATGACAAACTGGTCTGGCTCACTTTTTGGAATTGCTTGCTCAGATGGATGCATCTTATATAATGGGTAACTGGCCTCCATCCACACAATCCACGTTTCCACAATCCACAATTTCGTTTAACAGTATTCAATTAAAGTAAACAGTTTTATGGAAGTGAGAGTGCATCAGAAGGCACATGGCAACCTCCAACAAAAAGTCAAGCCAATTTAGAAACACACAATGACTCAAACAAAAGGACACATTTATATTTTCATACACATTCATAAACAATTACAAAATAATTTAAAGTAATAGAACAAAAGAATAAAGTGACCCATTTCAAGTTCTTTAAAATTACTTTTTGAATTACGCCTAAGTGTTCCAGCACCAACCCTCTATTCAATAACAGCTTGTTCTGTCATGATAACATGAGCACGCTTACGTTCAAGTGTGTGATTCTGTAAGTTAGTACTAAGGTAAGCTCTTCTAGTTTGCTACCAATTGCTTTATTTTCCTGACCTTATTTGTATACCACCACTGCAAGGTATTCCAAGAAGCACCGTCAGGTTTGAAGCAGCAGCAACAATGTTAGTGGAAGCTGCAACAATGTTAGTGAGTGCATCCACACAGGACCTATCCTGCAATATCTGCATCACTTGCCAGTTTGCTTCCAATAACAATTCAAAGTGTTGATGATAACTTTTAAAGCCTTAAATGGCTTGATCCCAGGATACCCGAGGACTGCCTCCAACCTTCTATCAGAAGAGAATGCCCTTCTCTGTGGCATCAGGACAAGGGATAGGGCCTTTTCGGCGGCTGTATGAAAGTTACAGAACACCTTTCAACACAAAGTGGGGATGGCCTCTTCACTGGTGTTCAATGCCTGGCTTTTGTCTGCTTGGGTCATTTTAACTTGTGATCTCCTGCAATGCTGTTGTTTTCATTGCATTTTACATTTCAATATATTTTACTTTGCTGTGATTTTAAATGTTCTGAGTGGTGCATGGGCACTAGAAGGATGGATATAAATGACAGAAATAATAACAAAGCAGGGACTCCAGGCAGCTTCTGCCCCAGCCCAGCTACTTGGGATTCATTAACTAAGGATGTGGAATGATGAAACACATGAACCAAGCCATCAAAGCTACAAGCCAAAATTAAATGTAACAAAATATAACAGGTAGATTTCTACTATAGGTATGTGGAAAGTGTAGAAGAGGAAGGCAGAGTTCAGCTGTGCAGGCGCAGAATAAAACTGCAGAGTTGGATACAACCATATGTCTTTTAAAATAGGCAATGTGTTATTGCATAGAAGAACACACATGATACAGCAATGGCTCAGTTATCTAAAGTATACAACCGTAAAGCACTGCACATTTCTGAGTGAAAGGCAAGTGTCAAGAAAGGATCGTGTTAAGGTTCGAACTTCCACAAGTTCTGACAAGCAAAATTATCATACAACTATGAAATGCAGGAATGTCTGGGTTTAGAAGAGACTACGTTGACATTTATAAGCCTTCAGCAATTGAGCTTGAAGGCCAGTTAAAACAGTTTCCCGCCAACACCTGCTTTTACTTACAATTTCTCAGTGTTATTTCATTGGAAAGAATAATTTCTCTTTAAAACACATTTTTCAGATTCTTACCCCACAAACATTTAAGATTATTAAATGTTAATTTTATTTCTGTTAGATTTTGCATTGCAGTGCATATATTGCAGCCGAAAAAAGGGGTGGTGAAAGTACTTCTGCAAAGTTTAGCCATTGGATGCAACTCTAAATCTCCTTTCTTAAAAACAAATTATTTCCAGGTCCAATTCCAAAACTCAGTTACTTCCAGAGCTTATATTAAGAGTGCAGTATTTCTAATTATTTTGGAGAAAGTAAGCACAGTTGTCAGGCAAGTTTAATGCTTAGGTCAGAAAATTATGCTTTCCAGCTGAGGTTTGGAGGCAAATGATGTTGGTGGGAAGGAAAATTAGATATATAAAAAGGAGAATTCCTGGATGCCATGATCCAAGTACTCATTGGGGCAAGTACTCGTTGGTGAGAGAACCTCAGCAGAGATTTAAAATCACAAAATATGCAGCAAAGTCAAGTGTGGAAATGAACCCTCCTAAGTTCCTTCCAAAGTTCTCCTCTTCCCCTAGCATGGGGGGGGGGGCGGAAATCCCATGTTTGGCAAGTTTAAATTGGTTTACTTACAAGTTCCATGAAGGTCAAATTGATGTGCTTTTCCATACAGCATTTAGAATACACAGGCAGTAAAACTTAAGATTAGTTACAGTAGTGAAAGTTGCTAAATTATTGGTATAGGAACACAAGAATGGCTTGTAAGAGCCATGTGGTCTGACGTTCAGCAACCAGCTCAAAACCTATTTATATGTTGAGCTTCTCAGCTCTCTCAAGGTGAGCTAAGCCCAGCAAGACAGCTTACTCTATGGTCTTAACCCTTTCATGTATTAAATAGAAGTATGTTGGTTATATAAGGGTGGTTATCCCACATTCTACTCTACGCCATCATTTACGCAAGTCAGACTCAACCAAGAAAAAGTAGATTAGAGCTCAAGAGGGGAGGAGGGGAAAGATGAACCCAAAGCTCAGGCAGAAAGATAGACATATTTTGATGTAATGTGTGAAGCAAATTGCTATTTACAGCCAATTCAGCACAGTAGTATACTGAGCTTTAATACATATACATATGCTAATTTGCCAGACCAAATCTAGTTAGCTGAGGTTACTATATAAATTATGGTTTATTAAGGTCAGGGAGATATGCATTAAACATCACAAGCTGGCTTTTCACTGAACAAAACCTTGGCAACTCTGTTGGTCAGAAACAAAGTGTCAGGGAGACAACAATCTCTTATTAGATTCTACCTATATGAACTTAAGAAGAGCTGATATGTAAGTTGCTCACCATTCTAAGAGTTTGAGACCTTAAAATATTCTGCTGTTGAAAGGTTTTATTAACAGTCACTGTGATATGGACGTGAAGTAAGAACAGGTCAGCTGATTCATTTGGAAAACAAAGGCATTATTATCAGCTCCTAAATGCTAAGCCTTTGAAACCAGCCTCCAGCTCTTTTCCTCTTTATTTCTTAAACTTATTTTCTATCTCAGTGCAGTATTCGGAGTGAATGTTCGTACTTCTTCACTGAAAACTGTTTTTGACCAACATTGAGGTAAGAGCATCAGTAGGGTACTGATCAAAAACACAATGATGCAACCTTGCCTACTTTAAATAATAAGAATAGTGCATCTATTATGATGTGTGTGTATATGATTGGTTTAAGAGTGAGGAATCCAGAGGTTATCAGTTCAAAATTCATTTTGAGGCTAATGTTTGGCTCAATTAAGACACCATGGCAAACCATGGTTTGTGCTAATCATAGTTTTTAGAACATAAAATAAATGGCTGGTTTAAACATTAATGCCAAGCCAAGGTTTGGCACAATGTAAAAGAGAACTGTGCCCATGTGCTTCACCCCTTCACCTCACATGCACCAATTCCTGGAGGACCAGGAATGCTGCTCAACTAAAACATCTATCAACCCTGACTATTGGTCATGATGCTTGGGGCTGATGGGAGTTTGAGTCAAACAACAATGGATGGGTCACAGGTTCTCCATCCATGACTTAATTCAAGTACTGGTTTGAAAGAATGATTTGCAGGCCATCTATGCAAACCAGAAATGTGGCCAGTTTAAATGAAATAGTAAAATTTTAGCAAGAACTCAAAACTGAAAGAATAAATTTCTGCATTCAAGGAAAGAGTATGGCAGGTGCAAAACTCAAAGTGCCCAGTCACGACTGAACATCTGTGTATTACCTCTACAGTTTTTTAAATATTATTTTTGCAAAAGGCTACATCTACCAGTAGGCAAAGGTGTAGCAGATGAATTTTGAACATCATAAAAGGGTAGGAAATTATCAGTTATTTAATTTATTATTATCATTTCTATTGCCTCAGAAAGAGAGAGGTGCATGTAGGTGCCAAAATAACTTTACTTCTCTCAGGCACTGTTCACCCCGAGGCCGGATCTCTTGGGCCAGTCCTGATTATTGTTCTGAGACAATGAACACATAGAAAGTTGTAATTATAATTGCCGTTATGTATCAACAGCATAACCAAATGACAGATGAGAGATTGAAAAAGATAGATCATTGCAATTTTTTAGCTATAAAAATACACAGGCATTTTTTTCTTCATATCCCTTCCAACCACCTGACAGAGTTCGGCCTGTATTTTCTTAACACCTTTTTCCTTGTTCATCATATAGCAGCTCATGGCTGTGTAGAATTGGCAGGTTTACACGCTCCTTAAGCATGATGTGGCTACAATTTTCAGCAAACAGCAGCTGCTGCTGGAAATCCCACCACTTCTGATGAACAGTTGGCTCACCATTAGTCTCCTCAATCCCTAGCAACAGCAGTATGAAATAATAGTATCCAACTTCTAATTCAGCTGCAACCTGTAGGCTGTAAACAACCCAGCAAGAACGGCTGCTCACTAGATCAATTACAAGCCAAGCCAAACCTCCCCACCAAGGGAATAGGACTTGGAGAGGAAAGAGGAAGTAAATAGTGACGGCAATGGAATTCATGTATGCTACAGGCTGAAGAGCCAGCAGCAGGTGTGAGCCTTCTTCAGATATTAAACTTACAAATCGGTGTACTACAACATACAAACATTTTTAATGCGACAAAAATAAATCAGTGGAGATTTAATGCACTCTGCCAACCATTCAGTATCGCTTTCATAAGAAAGTATTTACTATCTTATTTATTTAGATGTATAATTCATACATAAAGAGCTTTTTATGTACAGTAAGTGACTGTACTCCCCAGTACAGAGTTCCGGCACCTCTTTTTTGCTGCCTATGGCAGTCATTTTGTGCAGGCATCCAAGTCACTTGTATAGATATACGAATACCGGCATCTCATTTTTTACCACAAAAAAGCACTGCATAAATATAACTGCCAATAACCATAACATACTCATATAATTGCCCACTGTCTTTTTATTGAATTGGAAAATGAAGTTTATTAATGGCCTGGGATTGCAAACACCCACCCATCTAAAGACCCGAAGATGATAGTCAAAATAATACAGGCTAATGCATATGAATATTTGAGGAAAAATACTTTTTCAGTTTTTTCAACTGAGCTAACTTGTATACAGTGGTGCCTCGCAAGACGAAATTAATTCGTTCCGCGAGTTTTGTCGTCTTGCGATTTTTTTCGTCTTGCGAAGCACGGTGTCGGGAAAGTTTTGGAAAAGCTTCAAAAATCACCAAAGTCTTTAAAAACCTCAAAAAAAGGCTACCACACCACGTTCTATGAGTTGCTCCTCGAAGTCAAGTCGCAACTGTATTAACGGTGTTAAGAAAAGGAAACAAACTTGCAAGACGTTTCCGTCTTGCGAAGCAAGCCCATAGGGAAAATCGTCTTGCGAAGCAGCTCAAAAAACAAAAAACCCTTTCGTCTAGCGAGTTTTTTGTCTTGCGAGGCATTCGTCTTGCGAGGTACCACTGTACATCTGCAAGGAAAATAAGGCACAACAGGGTCAGCCACATTTGTTCATCCACTTGCCTGCCACATTCTTCTGTTTACAACAAAAGATGCATAGGGATGAAAGAAGCACACTTCTGGATCAAAGCTAGGCTGGGAGAGAACTACTTGAAGTGGAAGGGTGTAGCAAAGGCAGGCAGGCAGGCAGGTGCGGAAGTTTAGCTCCCTGCACCTGCACATCCTTTGTTGTAAAGTTGTTTCTCTCTCTCTCTATCTCTCTATCTCTCTCTCTCTCTCTCTCTCTCTCTCTCACACACACACACACACACAGAGAGAGAGAGGGGGGGGGTGACAAGCATATGAACAAACATGGCTAATCAAATGTAGTTTGCCCCTGAAAGTAAGGTGATTCTCTATACAGTGGTATCTCTGGTTACGAACGCTTCGGGTTACGAACGCTTCGGGTTACGAACTCCACTAACCCAGAAGTAGCTGCTCCTAGTTGCGAACTTTGCTCCAGGATATGAATGGAAATCGCGCGCCAGAAGCGCAAGTGCAACAGGAAGCCCTATTAGCAAAAGTGCACCTCAGGATAAGAATGGTTAAGAACAGGATAAGAACATCATGATCAACTCCCGCCCAGAAACCAATGTCCCCACTGTGGAAGGACATGTGGATCCAGGATTGGCCTCCACAGTCACTTACAGACTCATTGTTAAAACCATGTTTATAGAGGACAATATTACTCAGCTACGAGTGATCGCCAAAGAAGAAAGAAAGAAAGAATGTGTTGCTGAGCTCGCCCAACCTGCCCGCCTTAGAAAGCCCTGCCTCTCCACACACACATGCCATGTACTCCCTTCGGACTAGTTCAGGCCCAACTGAGCGAGGTGAAAGTGAGAGGCTCTTCTCAGCCCTCACTGGGTTAGACCCTTTTAGGGGAGGGGGAAGCAGGCTTTCTCTTCCACATGCCTCCTTGCCTCCTTTAAATGCTACAGCTTTCCATATGCTTGTAAGTTTCAAGGCCATGTATGGCTTGGGCAACCCTAGTTTAAAATATTGATTTCTTAATTTGGGGTTTAAAAAAATAAGGGTCGTCTTATACATGGAAAAATACAGTGCTGTTATGGAATGGCTTGATTTCAACACAACACGAAAACATGATGTACTATTACAAAGAGCTCAGGGTTCAGAGAGGCTTGTCCATGCTCCCTTGCCCTTCTGCTCACCCAACATGAATGAAATTTGAAACATCTGATTTTGTTCTAGACACAACAGTTTGCCATGCCATCCAAACCCTTGAAACACTGTGCTTTATCTTAACTATGTTTAGCTGAAACAGGTCAACTTTAAACCATAGGTCATTCAACTGACTTGTTTCAATGTAGAGATAGGGAACCTTCAGCCCACAAGCCTAATCAGGTCCAGCTGGTTTTCCCATTTGGCCCTCAGGCCATTCTGGCCAAGCCACACCCATCTGCCAAAAAGGCAGCAAGGCAGGGCCAAAATAAACTTCGAAATCATTGTTAGTCAGCTGGTGTCAGTGCTTTAGAAGCCCTGCACACAGTTGAAGTCCCAACTATCAGCTGATCAGCCAGCTTTAGAAGCTCAGCTGATTGGTAGACCTTTAGGGGTTATTTTGCATGGCTCTTTTCAAGCCTCTTGCAAATAACCCTGTGCTGTGCTTAGAAGCTGGGGCAATCAGATTATATATCAGGGCTTCAGAGCACTGTGGTATCCGGTAATTGACAGCTGGATGGATCCTTGCACTGGACAAATCTAGCCTGCAGTAGAGCCCCACACTAATCTGTGTCTTCAAATGTGCTGCAAGCTTATCTCTCTTCCTAATTTAAGTTATCCTTCCTGACTTCAGTTATCTGTAACTTAGTCTTTTCTCCTCTCCTTAGACACTTTTATCCATTACTTTCCATTTCAGACCTTCAGTTGCACAGAAAGTATGCAGTGTTTTGCTGGAGCAACTGGGCAATGGGAAAGAGGACAGAATAGCTGGTTGTTGCAGGAGGGGGAAAGGATGCAAGCCTCAGTTCTGATAAGTACAGAGCCAAACAAGAGCTTTCATGAATAGAATGATTGAAGCAGAGCCTCAAGCTTACAGGAAGAAGTGAACATGCAATGCAGAATTGAAAGATCTGTTGATTCACATTGGAAAATGCTAAATTGCACTGTGCCAAGTATTCTTCAGGGAAGCATCTGGTGTAAAATTGGAAGTTCAGGGGAACAAAGCATTGAAACATTCCAGCCACCGCCCCATGCTTCACCTCTTGCAGCCACTTAATAGCTATTGCAGCCTCTCCCAATCGCTGCTGGTGCCAATTTTGCCCCTTTGCTGACATTCCTTTTCCTGGGATTTCTACCCCAGTCAATCAGGCAACCCATTTGGCTATGTGGGAGATGATTAATGAACTGTATTTTTACACTGCCCTTCATCTGAAAGGACTCTACAGCAGTTTACAATTGGTACATTGCATTTTAATGTGCAAATAGCTATAAAGCATATCTTAAGACAATACGGAAACTAAGGTGGACCACCATAGCCATTTGCAGGCATCACATTTAATAGTATTATTCACAATGAGTTTAAGTATTGCATCTTATACTGTTTATTTAAAAAAGGCTGCAAATCAAGATTAAAACCATTGTTTTAAGAGTGCTTCTGTTGACATGACCAAGAACAGAGCAAACCATTAATGCAGCATTTCTGATGGCAAAATGACAGGTAAGCCTGGCAGGGGTCTCACTAAATGCACTCCAGCTCAACAAGTAAATAATGGATTCACTGCATGTTTTGAACCACCAACTCACATAAGGCAAGTTCAGCTTTTATTCTGGAAAGGTGGGATGGGAAACCTTTGGTCCTATGGGCCAGATCTCCCCTCGATCTCCCAGGCTAACTTTGAGAGGTAGGCAGGGCTACTCAACTGTCAATCATCAGGTGTCATGTTAACACTGTGGTGTCAGGTGACAGGTGGGCAGGCAGTCACACCCAGCTGACAAAGTTGACCCACAAGGAACATGCTAGCAAAGCAGCACCCAGCAAGAGTGAACCCAATGATGTCAGCTGATAAGCAGATAACTGTGGTTTGGAGGAAATGGCCTCATGGCCCAACCAGGAGCCCTTGATGGGCCAAGACTGGCCTGACAGGCAGGGATTTCCCATCCCTGTGGTAAGACAACCTCAGTAAACTAAGGAAGAGGCCCAAACCTTCAAGTTCAAGAAGGGGGGGGGGCTCTCTTTGACATTGTTTCCGAGACTGCATATTCTGAAGACAGCAAAGAAATCTCATTTTTCTCTAAATGTCACCAACATTATGCATAAAATCAGGGTCAATGGACAACACAAATTTTGGCTGGCTACCAAGGAGCTACTATAGGTTCTGGTTTTTGGATAATGTTCAGTTATATGCCATCAAAATTAATGGGGTCCATGATTAAGGTCTACACTGTGCTCAAATCTGAACACTGGATGACCAAGTGTTATTAGATATATAAATGACTATTAGTATTCAACAAAATCTAAGGCACACATATATTCTCCCTCATGCTGAAAGAGCACATATGTTTCAAATACAAAAATATGTTGAATTACAGAAACAAATGACAAAAAGCTGCCTACAGTATGTTCTGGCAGGGACACCAGGCCCTCTAAACAAAGACAGCCTCAAGATTGCTAGCCAACTGGAGCTGCCCCCGCAAAACCCACTGTACTTATTTTGTGGCTGGCCAAGTGGGTGGAGAACTTTTTATGCTGTTGCTCAAATGTAAAATTTTCCAGCATTCTTATAAAATTGCATGCTTCTCTCTTACTGCTGTTTCTAGCAGCTCAAACACAGAGTGGCATTTCAAGGGGGAGTCTCACCAACATGGAAAGAAGAACAAGAAAATATGTAATCATTATGTAAAAAGTAGAGTGGGAAAGTAAAGCAGGCAAATTCCAATTCAGAACTAGAGCAAAAAAAGGGAATAGAACAACCAAAACCCAGTTTTGTTGGGGTGAGTTTGACTGCAGTGGTTGCTAAACAAACATATAGGTAGGTTTGCACCATGCCGCCAGTGTCTTAAGACAACATTTATTTATCTGCAATATTTATATCCCACACCTTTAATTTCTAATGGCATTTCCAGGCTAGCCTAAATTAAAAAGTGAAACAATTAAACCAATAGCAAAGTACAATAAATGGGCTGGATCCAAAAGATCTCTTCTGTTCAGAGAAGTGGTCCTTCCATGAACTCAAGGGTCTTCACTCCAATGGAGGAAGGCGAGGAAGTGATTTCTGCCAGTATCCTGGGCCATTGCCCATGCTGGTCTGTAGGGTCCCCCAGTCTTCTGGAGCAGATTGCAAAGGGGTGCAGGAAGTTGTACCCCCTTCCCTTTTTATTAGGATGCTCCTGCTTCAACCAACTTTTGTGGAGGAGAAGCATTCAGTCACGTGAGCCCTCATTAGGTGTCCAGGACCGGCAGAAGCCCAAGGAGAGAGGAAGAGGAGTGTGAGATGGATGACTTGCAATAAGGGGTCAGTGACTTGTGGGGTTCTGTGGCACCAGTGAGGAGAAACCTTCCTCCATCACCAATGGGCTTCCTGTCACCAGTGCCTTCCTCAGCACCAGCTGTATCTGTGAGGCAGTTGTTGGCTGAGGTGGAAGAAGGGGTGCGAGAGCCAGAGACCAGTCAGCAAGTGCAAGGCAGAGGAGTTGAGGGGAGAGCTTTCAGGGATCCTTGAACCTTTAAAGCTTTTGGTGGCCTCCCCACTCCACTGTCTTCCTGCTTGAGGAGTTTGAAGAGACATGAACAGTTAGAGCAGGAGTGACAGTTACTTGACCACAACACATCAGCCAACTTCTTTTAAAGGGCAGTTAGTTGTTGATGGACTGTTGGCTCCAACTTTCCAAGACTGGCACAGATCTGCAGCAGTAGTTTGCTCAAGACAGCTAATTAGCAAGGAGCTTTGTCGCATGCAACTTGCACATTAGGAGCTGATTTAACAGAGTTATTCATCAATAAAGTCCTATAAAGAAACAGTCACTTGTTTTCATTGGTCTGGGTGCAGGTCAGGACACTAGGAAAAGGTTTATGACTGCTGTGAGAACTAGTATAAAAAGGGGTTGAAACAACTCGTACCTAAAGTAAAAGTTTAACAGACCTTACTACATTTTGGCTTAGTTTGGTTAATAAGGAAACTACAGACAGACGTTTATTGTGCTCATGATTTTTACCATTAATTTTTCAGTACCTACATGAAGTTTAGCTTTGGAATGGCAATGGGAAAGATACAGTATGTGAAAAACGTCTCTCTCACTTGGCACATTTAATACGAGTATAGTTTAGCTCATGTTTTGCAAGCCACACACATTCTGACCAACAGGTCAAGTGTGACATGAGAGAAAGAATATACTTGTGAAATAGAGATTATTCTGTAGCACCCCAGCAACTACTAGATCCATGTCTAGCAGCATTTCAGTCTTTACAAATCAAGCCAATTTAGTAATCAGGTGTATTATTTAGACATGTATAGTTACAAGCCCTTTAGACTGACTGAACTCCCTTCAAATTTAATACATTTTTCATTTCTAATGCTGGCTCCCTCCAGTCTGGGCAGGTTGCCATTGAAGAACAAGGGCTATTCTGAACAGCAGCTTGAAAAGATTAAGTGAGGGAATAGTCTTCAAAATGACTCCTTCAAAATTCCAGAGTTTACTCAGAAAAGAGAACCCCACCCTTCACCACAAAATACTACACAGATATTTGGCAAACAGCAGGTCAATCATATCTCAAAGCATTGGAAGTAGAATTATGCAATCAGCACAGTTAAAAACTTGACATGAACTGTAGTCAAGGTCTATTATTAATGAAGCATACAAGTCACAACACAAAACACCTCTTTTTAAAAAAAAGAAATTGTATTTTGGTTTACTAGCTTATCTTTTGTGATACTGTGAGGAAGAAATCCAGAGAAAAGATTCAAAGGCTTCTTGAAGTGCTCATAAGAGATTACAGACTACTCACTTACCAGGGCTTTTATTCCCCCCCCCGCCCCCCCCAACTACATAAAATAATACATAAATCCCCATCCCTTCAAAACAGCATGCTTTGCAGAGCATATTTGAAGGAATGAACTGAACACCTCCTTTGGTATACTGTTCTCTGGATTACCTCCAGAAACTATGACTGTTATATCTGGCAGCATTTTTATTTCCAAGAAATCTCAATTTAAGAATTAACAAGCCTTCATTATTGCAAATATCAGTTTTGAGAAGTAAAATCACAGGCTCATCCTGCCACACACCGCCCCCCAAAAAACAACTCTCCAGCAACCAATTCACAATTTTTAAGTCAGCAAATTGCAATCACTTTGATGCATATGTGTTTGTTTATTTATAATTTCAGTTTGCAAAGTTGAGCATGCAAAACCTAAGTTTCATTGGCTCAGGAAACAAAACCCTCACAATTGTGACTTATTTAATTTATTATTCTTCCAAGACTAGGGCAGATTCAGTAATTACTGATATCAAACAAGGGGCTTTAAAAATGCTCTTTTCAAGTCAGTTGTTAACTTCAGATGCTGAGTGAATCTATAGCTTCAATTCAGTCTCATTTACTTTTTACCTGTCTCTGAATTAACTGAAAGGAAATGATCCAATTTCGCTATTTGGTAATAAAGATTCTACAAGATATTCCCTCTGCCAAAGCCTACCAAGTAATTAGCATGACACAGGAGTGCCCAAGTTTTTGTGATCCTTTTGGCGTGCAGAGAACTGGAGGAAGTGGGGAGGGAAGAGGTAAGCCATGATGGGCTCCTCCTCATATGCAGTCCCAAGGAAGCAATTCCTATTACCAACAGTGACGTGGCCTCACATTTGTCATAAGAGCTTTGCTATAACTTAAGAGCACACTTAGATTTCTGGAGGAACTGAAAACCTGGTTAGTTATTTGGATTAGTTATTCGGTTATTTGATGTGTTTCAATGCAACATTAAACAGAACACTCTCAGAAATCCTCTTCAGACCTTTGGGCTAAATGCATAAAGGTTTAAAGAAGTGCCTGGGCACACAGGGGCTTTGGGGGCAGGGTCTGTGAGCATCCCCCGGCCCCATCCATATTTTAAGTCATTGTGTGTTCAGGCAATACTTGCACACAGTTCATGTGACTACAGTGTCTGCCAGTGAGATAAGTCGATCAGTTACAAGCTTATTTATAAAATGCCACACCTGCTTTATCACATGAATGAATCCTTTGCTGTTCAGGGATTTCTTCACATTCTTCACATTTCTTTCGTTTCCTTAAGGCCACCAGTGTACAAGGCTGAGAGCCCTGCGTTCTATACCCTCAACCCAAATAACTTTCTCTTAAAGCATTCAAATTTATACTGAACATATTTACATTTCTTAAATTAATGAGCACTTGTGCACATTATTTCTAAATCACAGGTGATTCTTGAAAACAAAGCTCTAAGTGATTATTTAAAGCTTAGATGGCTTGTCAAACAAGGCCTATTCTATTATGGGAAAAGGTACATTGTAATTATAGGATCAGTTATCATTAAATTAGAATCAAAGAAAAGCCAGTTTGCCGTGTTACACCACAGAACGTCTCATTATGAAAGTATAATTGAAACTCCTTATTATTTGTAATGAAAGCGATAAACCTTTTTTTTTTTTTTTTTTTTGTATTGTAGCCATACAACAGTTTGCTATAAAGTGATACAATGATACTGGGGTAAAGAGTAAGCTATAATGTTTTCAAAATGGTTCTGCTGACAGATATAAAACAGGGAATCTGACCAAAAAAATTGAAAATCAAATGCAGTTAAATGTAGAGTAAATTAAATCGCAATGTTAAAAGCAGATTTAGGTTCTAAACTTATATATACCCCCCTGGAAGTAAGTCACATCAAACCAAATGGGACTTCCGTTTGAGCAGACATGTATAGGAGCACACTGTTACTTTAACCCAGTGGTTCCCAAACTTTTGGGGGTCACTACCCACTTAGTTCCATAAACCCATCCCCAGTGTCCTCTACCACACCCTCTAAAAAGTATTATTTAGACCAGTCATATGCAAAACCCACTAAGGAAAGTAGTAACACAATAAAATGCAATTAAAACTATTTAGCTTAGTTAATTCAACAAAACTGATCCAGGGGTACAAGTTCTTCAACGTCTGATATTCATTTACACTTTCAGCACCCCAGGTAATCCCACCAGCCCACGGGGGGCAGTGCCACCCACTTTGGGAACCACTGCTTCAACCAAAGGACTCTGTTTCACCTTTGTACCCACACAGTATAGATTACAGTGGTACCTCAAGTTACATACGCTTCGGGTTACATACGCTTCAGGTTACACACTCCGCTAACCCAGAAATAGTGCTTCAGGTTAAGAACTTTGCTTCAGGATAAGAACAGAAATCAGGCTCCAGCGGCACAGCAGCAGGAGGAGGCCCCATTAGCTAAAGTGGTGCTTCAGGTTAAGAACAGTTTCAGGTTAAGAACGGACCTCCGGAATGAATTAAGTACTTAACTGAGGTACTACTGTACAATGTTTACAAGTTTTTAAAAAATGTTTTAAAACTGAAAAATCTCCAAGTTTTTGTTCACTGGATGCTTTCCCTTTTTAATACGTAGTATGATGACAATCCTACCCTCCAGACTGTAACATGTAAATGGAATACAATAGCTATACTAGTGCAAGAACCATGGTGGGGATGAAGAACTCCAATGCTACCACAGAAAGTGAGAGTACTGACTGAAAACTGACACAAATCAGATCACAACCTCACAAGACACAGCACAGCAGCCACAAACAGCATAAAAAAGCAGGAGAAATCATCAAAGCCCTCCACCACACACATATAGGAACGAATGACCCATGAGAATGGAATGAGATCTCCCACAACTGTTTCTAGCTTTCAGTGTTAGAATATGTATTATATGTTTTGATTCTACAGGTGCGTAAACTACCCTAGGAACATTTCGATGAAAAAATAATAATATGCAAATGAAACGAGAGTCCAGCACCAGTTAACTGAGTCACATTCTCAAGACGGCACTGATTACAGAGCAAACACTCACTAAAACAAATTTGTATGTCCTCATCCCACTTCTCACAACCAACATTAGCAGCCAGCAAATGGAATACCTGCACTTAATACATTGGTAAGAAACTGGCCATGCTGACATGATAAAGAAGGTACTAGGCTTCTTCAGGTAGTACTAGGTACTAGTGTTGCAATAAACCAGATCCAACTATAAAATTGGAGGGCGTTCATTTGAAGGACACCCACTAAGTGAGGTCAGACTTAATTTGGAAATGCACAACACTATTCTATAGGGAGCAGGTCTCCAGAGGACTAATCAGGAAGGGGCAGGTTGGTACCCTGCTTGACCTGCTGTCACAGAGAGTGACAGTTTATACTGCCTGCATCAGTTTATTTGTCCAGTGAGGTATCTGGCTGCAGGTGTTGTGGGTGACATCCTTAGGCCCCATAATAGTGTTGCCTGAAAAAGTACCCTGCATAAATGTCTCTTAGGTGGCCTGGTGAGTGGCTATCTCAAACAGCAGTTTTTCTTCTTCTTTTGTATAACACACACACACTTGTACTTTTAATCATCTGGGTACACTCTGTTCTCTATGAAGTCTCAAATATGATTGATAGCCAGGTTGAAATTTCCTAAATTAATTCCTTAACAAACCTTCATTGAAAGATTAGGACTGCTGACACGAATTCAGACTATACGACTGGAATATTAACTGTAACTTGCTTGGCAGAAGTTCCCATTAAAGTCAATTGTACAAATCCAAGTAAAAATGGATTAGAAAGGACTGCTAGCATCACACACTCCATGATCCTGACCTGTGACTTCACCATTCCCTCCTTCCTTGCATCAGAATATTTCCTACTTTAAAAGGGGTCAAACAAAGAGTTTTCTGTGGCTTAAAAGGATCAGGAGAGCCATACTGGATCAGGCAAAGACTTATCCAGTCCACTATTCTGTTTTCACAGGGGTCAACCAGGAAGCCTGCAAGAAGGACATGAATGCCATTTGCGATGCCCCAGCAACTGGCGCTCAGACAGCAGAGGTAGAACACGGCCATCTTTGAATCTCTGCCACTGTCTCTACATAGTGATGTACAGGTAACAGGTGGCCCTTATTTTGCTTCTAGAATACTTACAAAAGCTGATACGTCTTCTGTAATTTCCCCTTGCCCCAAATTGTGTTATTGATTTTGTAGTTCAGTTTCCTGTAATTTCTATAGCATGATTTCATGCCTTTGCTTTTTTATATTTTGGCCCAACACTTGCATGATGCACAGGACACCCACCCATAAGAACACTGTTTGTCTTCTCACCTTTTCAGATCATCATTATAAGGTCCCCTGTAGAGTGATATATCTTTTCTTTTTCTTTTCTTTTCTTTTTTTTTGCCTGGCTACAGCTTGCCATGGTTTTATCCTTTTTTTCATCTGGAGGAAAGGGGGCAACAACATTTTTAACTCTCCTCTTCAATGAGAACCAGATTAATGCCAAGAAAATAACTAAAAGGAAGTCATCAAAGGAAGCTGCGCCTTATGGGTTTGTTCAGGCTACCAGAGTAACATGGCTGAATCATTAAAACTCCTTTTTAGATTAGAATCGCAGCATGTGTCGCTGCTTGAAAGGTTATCCATCTAGCACCGCTTGAAAAGGGGAAATGTGAAATGATAACATGTGGCCTCATGCGCCACTACGTACTCTGTAGCACACACATCTCATAGCTTCCTCTTCACAGTTTGCAGAAAGGAACAGAATGCAATAGGGCGAACTATGCCACAGGTATACCACACTAGGCAAGTTCAGCTCTATATTCATAGCTTACTAAACCATATTTCAGCAAGTAATATTTTTTTTAATTGAATTTATATACTGCCCTATTCGCGCAGGTCTCATATATATAATAAGCATAAAGGTAAAGGTAAAGGGACCCCTGACCATTAGGTCCAGTCGTGACCGACTCTGGGGTTGCGGTGCTCATCTCGCTTTATTGGCCGAGGGAGCTGGCGTACAGTTTCCGGGTCATGTGGCCAGCATGACTAAGCCACTTCTGGCGAACCAGAGCAGCACAAACGGAAATGCCGTTTACCTTCCCGCCGGAGCGGTACCTATTTATCTACTTGCACTTTAATGTGCTTTTGAACTGCTAGGTTGGCAGGAGCAGGGACTGAGCAATGGGAGCTCACCCCATTGCGGGGATTCGAACCGCCAACCTTCTGATTGGCAAGTCCTAAACTCTGTGGTTTAACTCACAGCGCCACCCGCGTCCCTATATAATAAGCATATATTCCTTCAAAATGGTAACAAAAACAGATATTAACAGCTGTGGAGATAGAGAGATATGTTTTCTGATATATTTCTCAACATTTTTTTATATTAGAAGCTGCCCCAAACATCTGTATTGAAGAACAAGGTATTAAATTCCTAAATAAATAAGCAGCAGCCTGGCTACAACTATGTATCCTCTACTAACCTCCAGATTAGCAAATATTGCAACATGTTTTACACGGGCTGCCTCTGAAGACTGTCCACAAACTTTAAAATATAGCAGCTAGGCTGCAACCAGGGGCAAGGCATTGCCACAGATATCCCATGGGCTTCTAAATGACAAAGCTGGATCTATGAGCACCCCTGGCTGCAAGCCTAACCTTTTACAGAGACTGCCATCCCATTTAGAACAAGCTAAGCACTACCTCCAGGACACGGGCAACCCACCACTACCTCCCGAGGTGAACAAACCCCACCATATAATGACTGAGGTTCAGTTTAGTAGCTCACAGTTTCTTTAATGCAACCATATGAAGTGCTTTGTTGTTTAAACTACTTGCTTTTTATAGGATAGATTCAAAACAAACCACTTCATACATGCTTTGCACCCTTCCTCTCTAAATGCAAAGCTGGAACTGAGTATTTAAACACATACAACCTTAGGTTTTCAAGCCTCATGTATAGAGAACAAAGCTGGTAGGAATGGACGAAGTGGCTTATTTGGGTGCAAGAGGCTTAAAGAATTAAGTGTTTAATGTGATGGCACTGAAGAATACATGCTGATAGAAATGTAATACTTTTTCAAATGCCTGAATTCAAGTAGGATTTCAGTGTGAAGGACTTAGTTGTGCACATAATAGAACTTATGTAAAACCGCTTATAACGTGAATTTATACTTAAGAAACCAATTTGCACAGTTCCAGTGCATTCACATGCAAGAATCCCAGTTACAGTTCTCTCTATTTGTTATTTCATATTGTTATAGTTCAACAGAGTAAACACAAGTTTGTTCTGGCCATCCGCCCCCCATGGAAACCACTTTCTTCTCTCACAGATAGTGGACTGAAGGAGTGGGAAAGAAGAGCTTGAGAAGACACAGGAGGCGGCGAGGAAAAACTGACCAACAGCATGAGAAAGATGCTGTTTCAAAAAGCACAATCCAGTAAAATGAATTCATATAGATAAAGACCTGGTTCAGACATAAACAATGGCTATCAGCCCGAGAACAAGTCATTGGAAATGATCCTAGTTCCATCATAAACAGGAGTTAAGACACAGTTTCCAAGTTCAGAAGTAAACAGGAACCAATGGTCGGCCACAGGGTAGAGAAAGCTGAAGTATGCTTTATAAGCCACAGACTGGAGAACCATCAATCTTACTTTCCATTTCTCCTATTCTGCTGGATAGGGCTGGGTAATATCTGGTTTTCAACATTGTGATATATCACCAGCCAAGCATCATGATATACTGATATATCACAATGTTGGCTGGCTTCATGGTTTTTCCTGCATTGTGACTTTTGCTGGCGCCTGCTTTTGTGATTCGCTGACTTCTACAGGGGATAGGGGAGAGATGAGCTGGCAAAGTTAACAGGGGCTGCTGGAATCCAGAGCAGCATTGGCTGGTTTCATGGTTTACACCACATTGTGATTTTTGCATAGGGTGCACGCACACATGCACACACTCACACACACCATGATTCACGATATATTGTCAGGTCAAAAATTATGAAACTGGTCTTACATGGACTTCAAACTGGTTTTGGACGATCTATTGATATATTGCCCAGCCCTGCTGCTGAATTAGAGCACATGTTGACATTGTGTGAAAAAAGCAAACCATTTACAATATGTACCTACATGTTTCCTGTAGTTTCCATTCTCCCCAACTACAATTTTGTGATGTTTTTCTTTCCTTCAATGTCTCCACCTACTTTCATTGTTTCCCTCCCTCCCCCCACCTCCCCTCATAGCAATTTCTCTCCCCTGTGCATTTTTTAAAGGAGATAAAAATAAACAGAAAAACTATATATCTCAATAGCAACTTCAAACTCCATGTCCCATGCAGATCTGGCCTTCTTCCAAGTCTGATGAAGTGTCAAATCCTACACCACCAAGAGGGAGGAAAAGAGAGAAGGGAACAAAGAAAGGCCAACACTAGTCATAAAATCCCTGCTCTGGTGTATCAGAAAACTCTAATCTCACTTTCACTCATTAAAGATATAAAAGGCATTATTCTCAACACCGTAAGTATTGAAGTATTAACTTTACAACAAAAAAAGCCTGAAAACACCGTAACCTGCAAGGAAAGGTAACAGCAGCCTCCAGCACTGCAAACTCAAAGGACAGCTATCCAGTAGCAACTACAGAACTAGGAACTTCAGACATCAGAAATATTCACTATGCATCCTGCAGGCCACTGCTAACCAAGGCCCAGCAGAACCGGACCAATTCCTGCAACATATGACGCACACAGCAATCAGTACAGTGCTAGACAAACATTCAAATCTGTGTACCTAAATAAAAAGGTGTGAATAAAAAGGCAAGCAATTGATCCCATGTCTCAAGATCCAGATTTGGAGGAGGGGAGCCTATGATTTTATATCTGCAAGATGAAATTCTGTAGAATATTGATGGGGAGCCCAGGGCTCTCCTAATGCTGTTGGACTTCAACTCCGATCAGGCTCAGCCAGCATGGTCAACAGTATGAGATGAGAAAGTTTATAGTCCAACAACATTGGGAGGGTGGCAGACGTCCTGTCTCTTCTGTAGAAAAAAAGTTCTTTAGTTAAGTTAATGGCCCAAGCCAAGCCTGCCAAGTATCTCTTTAAAAAGTCCAGGTGACTTGTTGCCACAGAAATCACTAGCTAGCAATACTTCCACCAAGGCACACAGACAGTTTGAATCATAAACCATTTCAAAGCAAATGAACGTGGTTTGTTGTTTTATTATTGGTGGCGTTTTCCCTTAGCTGATCTATATATTGAATAGATACAACTGACAGAAATTGCATATCCAATGGAAGTCAGACACAGCTGGTGAGATGCTGAAGTTCTATGAACAAACATGGGAACTCCCCTCATATAGTTGCCTGGTGTTAAATTTTCAGGAAATGCTTCCTGACTAATTGGAGAGTGTGACAAGTTCACTTTCACTTGCAGTATTCCAATAGCATGCAACTGCCAAGGCAGCTAGTACTATCAACAGCAACTGTTTGAGTGTCAAGGGGGGGAAATCAGAAGAACGTACGTAATTCTCATCGGTGAACTCTTCAGATAGCATCGTATTTTGAGGCTTTAGTCCAATTTCATGAAGACTTTTTTTTAAGGGCAAATGCAATTACAACCAACACTGGACTTTCTTGTGCTATTGCAGTCTGAAACTTGAACAGTTGTTGCGACTGGCATCTTCCCAGGGGTTAAAAAAAAAACCCAAGAGGAAATTTTAAAAATAAGTCAACAGATTTTTTTTTTTAAGATACTACATTCTAGAGTGCTGATGTAAAATTCAGACCGTTCCCCAAACTCCTGCTTATATTTGGCAGGGGCAGACACATGAAAAAGCAAACATGGTTGTCCCCTTAGTATTTAACCCAGGTAGGACAAAGTGGAAACCTTTGAATTAGCTATTCTACCTGCATATTTGATATTCTAGTTTTCTGCCTACACGTTCCCCCTTCCCTACCAAGGTGGCTATTGCTCAGTATCACGAACCACAGGTGGGAACCTTTGTTTGAACAGACCACAAAGAGTGAACTCTTTGAGGCAGCTAGCCAGGCATTTCCTTGCTTTAGTGCTGTGTATTTTATCTTTCAAGACATCTAAAATTGCTATTTAAGAGAACCTTCCTGTCGGGCAGTGATCACCAGAAGTTTCTTTAGCCTTTAAAACAAAGAAGCTTTTATAAGTCATATCCTTAAGAAGGGGCACTTGTTTAAAATTCACTATTTTCAACTGCTTCAATATTCTATTCCCATTTATTATTTTCAAAACCACACCTTCAAGAAGGAAAATGAGGAACACAAAGGGGGGGGAGAGTAAAGACACAATTTTGTGTCTTTTTAAGTCACTTCTCAGACTCACTTGATCATCTTGGACCAGTTACCAGATATCAGCGTAACTTACCTCACATAACTATTATGAAAACAGTAACACTCCAAAGTGTTCAATCTCTCTTTATTCCCTGATATTAGTTCTTTATATTTCTGCATAATACTAGCATCACAACGAAGGTAGAATAGTGTACAGTAGTACCTCAGGTTAAGTACTTAATTCGTTCCGGAGGTCCGTACTTAACCTGAAACCGTTCTTAACCTGAAGCACCACTTTAGCTAATGGGGCCTCCTGCTGCCGCCCCGCCGCTGGAGCACGATTTCTGTTCTCATCCTGAAGCAAAGTTCTTAATCTGAAGCACTATTTCTGGGTTAGCAGAGTCTGTAACCTGAAGCGTATGTAACCTGAAGCATATGTAACCTGAGGTACCACTGTATTTGATACATGAAGTTTTGCAAATTTCAAAAGGGCATCGCATCTAAAACCAGTAGAAATTGATGTTTTAACCGCAGTAAATTTGTTCTGCTTTCCCCCCACATTAAATTGTTTCTCCCATGCTTTCTCCCACTCACTCAGCAATCCTGAAGTACTAATTAAACACAATACTCCTTTCCTCCCAACAAAGTTAAATGGAGCCAGCATTACAAAGCAAAGCAAAACAATATGCTGAAGTCTGAGTAGGTGGGAATAATTTTCAAAGATAAGGGCAAATAAAGAGTTTTCATTCAAGAATGGCAATGGTCACACATCTAACGAAGCTCAAGAATGGATTGACCCAATATTAAATTGAAAACAAAGAGTATATTAGAATGTGAATCCATATTAGCATGGAAGCATCTTCGTTATGTCCTCTTTATATTAATTGTACCAAATATGAGGAGTGTATAACCAAGATGCTTCCATAGTAATCCATATTTGTTCTTTTTATTATGAACCGCAATAAATATTCTGGAATGTTTAAAGATTAGTTTGTATCTTCAATGTGGATTTTTAAAAAGCTTATTAAAATTATAACAGTGTGATCCTAAGAATTTCTACTGAAAAGTGCTGGTAAGTTACAATACACTGATTTTAAGGAATCTTACTCTTCAGAAATTGAGCATATCACTGCAGTATGGGGTTTTCCTTTAGGGAAACAGTTGCCATTCCTGGTTCTGATATTATTAAAGGTTTAACAGATGCCAAGAAAGTATATTAGATAACAAAGGTGCACTCTGAAACTTCCTGGGGCCAAATAACAATCCCACCCCCAACCCACCCCCGGTGCTAGACTACACAAGTGGCAGAACTTCCACTGTCACCTTTCCATAGAAGCCAATATTCAAGACACCTCTTTCTGTCTCTTGAAATCAGAATTGCTTTATTTGTTACCTAGGCCGTCCTACACTAGTGATTATTACACATGTAGATTTGAGTTCCACACTTAAACTGAGGCTTATGCCATTGGGTTGTACTGAATGCTCCACATGGTTAGTTCCACTGGCATGATGCAAATTCCGTTTTGTATCCTTCCGTTGCACGTTCCCACAATCTGCTGAGAGCACACAGTGGGCTGGAAGGAACGGCTGAGGGAGAAAAAGTTCCACTGTACACACACACAGAAGACCTTTGCACCAGTGAAGCTGCAACATTGGATACTATAATCTATACAGTGGTACCTCGGGTTACATATGCTTCAGGTTACATACGCTTCAGGTTACAGACTCCGCTAACCCAGAAATAGTACCTCAGGTTAAGAACTTTGCTTCAGGATGAGAACAGAAATCGTACAGCAGTGGCACAGGAGCAGTGGGAAGCCCCATTAGCTAAAGTGGTGCTTCAGGTTACGAACAGTTTCAGGTTAAGAACGGACCTCTGGAATGAATTAAGTACGTAACCAGAGGTACCACTGTGAACACAATTGAAAATCCTGATAGGTTAAAAGTCAGCTCAAGCATACTCTGTAAAGCACATCTGCTATTTTAAAGTATGCAATTCTTTAAAATTACTGTACAGTGGTACCTCGGGTTAAGTACTTAATTCATTCCAGATGTCCGTTCTTAACCTGAAACTGTTCTTAACCTGAAGCACCACTTTAGCTAAAGGGGCCTCCTGCTGCTGCCGCCGCTCCACTGCCACACGATTTCTGTTCTCATCCTGAAGCAAAGTTCTTAACCTGAGGTACTATTTCTTGGTTAGCGCAGTCTGTAACCTGAAGCATATGTAACCCAAGGTACCACTGTATAGGTACCGTATTTTTCGCACCATTGGACGCACATTTTCCCCTCCAAAAATGAACAGGAAATGTGTGTGCGTCCTATGGGGCGAATGCAGGTTTTCGCTGAAGCCTGGAGAGCGAGAGGGGTCGGTGCGCCCTGACCCCGCTCGCTCTCCAGGCTTCAGGAAGCTCTGCGCAACCCTCGGGAGACCGGCTCCGAGGGTTGCGCAGAGCTGCCTGCAGTCCCGGGCTCAGCGCAGCTCTGCGCGGCCATCCGGAGCGGGGCGGGACTTCGCGCCCGGCTCCCGGTGGCCGCGCAGAGCTGCCTGCAGTCCCCGGCTCAGCGCAGCTCTGCGCGGCCATCGGGAGCAGGGCGCGAAGTCCCGCTCCGCTCCGGATGGCCGCGCAGAGGTGCCTGCCGTCCCCGGCTCAGCGCAGCTCTGCGCGGCCACCGGGAGCCGGGCGCGAAGTCCCGCCCCGCTCCCGATGGCGGCGCAGAGGTGCCTGCCGTCCCCGGCTCAGCGCAGCTCTGCGCGGCCACCAGGAGCCGGGCGCGAAGTCCCGCCCCGCTCCCGAAGGAAGCGCAGGGCAGCCTGCAGTCCCGGGATCAGCGCAGCTCTGCGCGGCCACCAGGAGCCGGGCGCGAAGTCCCGCCCTGCTCCGGATGGCCACGCAGAGCTCCCTGCAGTCCCGCGATCAGCGCAGCTCTGCGCGGCCATCGGGAGCCGGGCGCGAAGTCCCACCCCGCTCCGGATGGCCGCGCAGAGCTGCCTGCAGTCCCAGGATCAGCGCACTTCTCCCCATCGCCAGCCCCACAAGCTCGGGGGACAGTGGGGAGGCAGAGCGCACCTTCCCGCTGTTCCCCGACCTAGTTCTTCCAGCCCCGCACCTGGGGGGGAAATAAAAATATTTTTATTTATTTCCCCCCCAAAAAACTAGGTGCGCCCTATGGGCCGGAGCGTCCTATGGAGCGCAAAATACGGTATATTTCTATTGCTGTCTCCTCGCTGTGCATTTTTTGCAAACCAGAGCTGAATTACATAAATATTTATATCTGTTAACAAGCAAGGCAGTACAAAATTGTTATTTTGTTGCATAAGATAGAAAAGCCAATTAAAGTGTAATACTAAGCTGATCGTGCCTGGCAGTTTAAATTTTAAAAAAAAAAAAAACACCTCTTAACACTGATGAATGTAATAACCAAAATAACATCAGAAGTCTATCCTAGCATGCTAGCCATACCTGTGCTTTCACATTCCTTTAAATCTCTGTGTAGGTCATAGTAGAGATTTAAACTCACAAGTCCATTACATTCCAGGAAGAGTAAGAGAAGTTATTAAATACAACAGTGCATGTGTTAAAACTTTCAAAACATAAATTATTAGTTACAGAATGGCAGTTTGGCCTTAGTAAAATAATAATTTCAGCAAGTAAAATCCAGCACAAGCAAGTAACAGGGCTTCTCCTTCCTGTCCTCCCCACTGGAGACCCCCAGCACACCCCCCAAAATCTAGGGAATGCCTTGAGAGAGAAGAGAAACCAGTCCTGTTGCACAAGCAAATTTCCAATGTACAAGTGGGCAGGCATCATTTGGTCTCACTCAGTGATCTTACGAGGTCCTTGAATGACAAATAGCAGAAAACATATGAACAGTAGGCTGTAAACCACCTCCGATATCTGCAGGGCTTCCAGATTCGTATTATACTTCTAAGTCATGGCTCTCTCATTGAAAAAAAATCTACACCTCCTGGCTGCTGAGTACATAATGAACATTTGGTGTTTAAGAGATTGTATTACTACTTTCAAAAATACAAAAACAAAGTCTTTGGAAAAAAGAGATCGTTCAATCACTGCTTGAAAAGTCACAGGAGTCATAAACACCATATTTTAACTGAATTTATTAAGTCCAATGATATATAAGCATATATTCTCTGGACAGCTCACAAACAAGTGAGAATAAAATGCAACACTAATATATAACAGTAAACAGCATAAAAATTAGTTTTACTGACAGCCATTCATATGCCTGGATAGCTCAGTTGATTAGAGAATGGTGCTGGTTACACAAAGGTTTCAGGTTCAATTCCCGTATGGGGCAGCTGCATATTCCTGCACTGCAAGGAGTTGGACTAGATGACCCTCAGGGTCCCTTCCAACTCTACAATTCTATAATAACATGGTGATATAATAAAATAGCCAGATTGAGAAGCCCAGATAGCAATCCTTGCAGCTTTAACATATGCCCAAAAAGCTCCTTGCAGTGTAAGTCTACAATGTCTTCTGTAAAAATATTCTGTAAAGACTACTGCTTGTTGCTTTGTTATTTTATTAGCAAAAACTAATAACAAAATGCTTTTACTTTAGGGCAATTCCACCATACATGGAAATATGCACCAATGGACTACTTAAAATTTCTAAATCGCCAAAAAATCTACCAGGCAGTGCACAAGTGTATGCCAATCTTCCAATCAATAGTTCGAGACTTTTGCTTTTTGTGTTTTCTTCTTACACGTTTTATTTATATATATACTGAACACAACTCTCAACCATGTACAGCATGATTGGAAATAACTTTTTGTCCTTCTCCAATAATATGAAAACTTGGGCTCACCCAATGAAATTGACTAGCAATATATTCAGAACAATAGATTTAGATGAAGTACTTTTTCACAGAATGCAAAACTTGCGGAATTCACTGGCACAAGATGTGATGATGGCCACTGGCTTACATGGCTTTAAAGGGGGTTTAGCAAAATTTGCAAAGAACAAAGTGTTATTAGCCATGATATTTAAATGGTACCTCCAGGTTCAGACACAGCCTGCTGGGTACAATAGTGTAGGAGAACTATTGTCCATGCCCTGCTTGTGGACTTCCTAGAGACTTCTAGTGAGCCAACATGACAAACAGGGCGCTGCAGCTTTGTTGTGAACGCCTGACATACAGCACAGCTTTACTTTTCCCTACATAAGTGAATTGCATGCTGCAACTGCAACCCATTGACCTTGCCAGATGCAAGATAATGGCCCCCACTGACTGACTTCTATGGAAGAAACAATAGATTATGGCTGGGAAGGTTATGGAGCCAAGGTCAAACAAGACACCTCATATGACATGGGAATTCCAAACATTAGCATTAGTTATCTAGGATAAAGTAATGTCAACATCAACTGATACAAGAGTTGTGTGAACTAGTAATCTGCTACTAATTTTACCTAAAGAAGATTATTGATTATTAACACCATGAGTTGAAAATAAACGTGATTAGAAATAGAAGTCACTGTTCAGAATTTTAAGAGTAAACAATACTCCCACCTGTAACATATTTTAGTTGAATTCTTTCTGCACTGCACTCTAGCTAAAATTCTGGCATTCCAGCAGCAAAAACAAAATAAACTATTGGATTATATTGCTGGCTTTTGGGCCTTGAAGTTATGAAAACATTCTTGGTATCCAAAGCAACATCTTAATTTAGTGTGCTTGTTTAAAATACAGATAAACAATTTTTTCTCCTTTAAAATATAATGTAACTTCACGAAAGGGAAAGTGTACAACTATCTTCAAAAGACTTTAAAACATATTTATCCCTCTGCACCAGGGCAAGCAACTATTCTTATTAGATCATTTGTACATAACATACAACTGACAGAAGGCAAAATCCAACATTAGTCACACATAGAAAAGACCCATTAAAATCAATGGGCAAGTAACTTAAGACCATTGATTTAAAAGTGTCTATGTAGAGTATGATAGGTTGAATATCACCCAAATGAAATAGAGATCATTATCAAAATACAAATCATAGTATAATTATACCTTTTTTCTGCATTATCAATTACAGAACAGAGTTATTTCACTTTAGGAACACTCCATTTGAGGACTAGCACAAGTATTCCTTCCCTTTAGCACTTTTCCCTTTCTGGAGCAATTAAGATGAAAAACACAAATGCCAGTCCTGACAACAAGTCTTTAATTTGTAGACTAGTGTATTTTGAGGAACTGCACCCTTTTCATTGAGAAATCCCTCTCCCAGATTCTGCTCCTATCTCAGGTATGCAGAGTAATAAATAACTAAGATTCAGGAAAATTCGCAAAAGGTAAATACAACAGGCAGGCCTAATTCGGGTGATTTCTGTAGCTGAGTTTCTGTTTAGGTCAGCTCAAGAGCACAGTGCAATTCTATGCATGTTTACTCAGAAATAATCCCTCCCTATACAGCAGGAATGGAGAACCTTTGGCCCTCCACTTCTGACGGGGATCCCAACACCCATCAACCACAGGAATATGGCCAAAGGTCAAGAATGATGGAAGCTGGAGTACAGCAACACCTATCCATTCCTTATATACCTAATTTTATTAACATCACAAAAGTTCAAGAGTTAAAGCTTGTATTTTTAATTCAGGAATTACAAAAAAAATGAAGTATGCTGATAAATCTTTAAATATGCACATAAAGCATATCTCCAAATAAAATTCTTTTCAGAAGTTAAAAACCTAACAAATACCTGCCAATCTCAGAGTTTACCGTACCATGAATGCTACTAAGAGGGCTCTTTCACTCTGCACATAAACAAACCATGATCCCTAACTTCATATTAGATCAAAACCTGGAATTGTAGTTTGGTTCGCTCCTGGCAAACTGAGATCTATAGGTTTGTTCTTGATTTACTAGACATGGTTTACTGGGAGCATAACAAGCCCTGGTTCAGATGTTACCCAAAACAGTGATCACAGAATTGCTTCCAGTACCTGGCCAATTGTGTGATAAGACAAACCACATATATGTGTATTTGAAAGTGAGCCGACCGGGGGGGGGGCAGTGGGAGAAATGCTCTCATTCTTCACCAGTTGAACTGACAAGATGCCATTGCCCATCAGGGCCGTCTTTACCCAGGGGTGCAAGGGGTGCGGGGCACCCAGGCGCCAAATTCTGGGGGGAGAGCAGGGAGATCTCTCTGGAAAGTCTCGCTCACCAAAGCCAGGAGGAGGGGAAGTGACAGGAAAAAGGGAGAGACAGACAGAAAGAGAACGTGCCTATCTAGCGACAGGAGCGCACACAGGCTCCGGAAGAACTCGTATATGCGCACTCGCAAGGGCCCTCCCAGCTCCTCTAGAAATAAGGTTACTCTCACAATGAAAGGCTGCCCGAGATGGCTCTCCCACGCATGCGCATAATGCCTGCCCGTCTCATCTTTCAGACACCTCCCTATGACCGTAAGTGAATGCATGGAGTCTTTACACTGACTCCCAATGTGTTCTTTGTCTTCTTTAGAAAAGCTGGTTTTAAACAAAACACACACAAAAAAACCTCCTTTTAGAGCCGTACAGGTGTGAGCACTATTTTTCAAATTATAATAGTGACATAAGGCATAATAAAAGTTAATTTGGGAGCGCTGGGTGGATCTTTGCACCCCAGCGGCGCATATGCTAAAGACGGCCCTATGGCCCATTCTGAAAAGTGTGCAGTGCCTAAATAACTTGTGCATGGCAAGAGATATATGGATGCAGCAGACAGGGGAGGGAGTACAGAATTTCAAGGGGGCTCTTTCAAAGTATGTGCAATCACACCCTGTCCACATGAAAGATACAGTCCAAGACCGCACAGAGAAGAAAAAACACTCCCAAGTGTGCAAAACATTTTTTCCCCTGCCCTGACCAGTCCTGCAATTCTGGTTTTATGGTAAGGCATTAAATTAGAGCCCCAGGGAACTCCCGAAGAGACACGTACTACTTCAACTTCACAAATATTTTAAAAGGCATTTTGCAGTGTGCACAGTAAGTTTTCTAAGCCGCAAACAAGTGGCCCAAACAAGACTTAATAAAACCTAATGTAATTGGGTCCTAAAAAAACAGAAATGATTAGCTCTGCAGAAAACAGAAGCCTATAATTACTCTTATTTCATGATGGCTGCGTCAAGAGTCTTTTCAAGTAGAACCAGGAATCCAACATACAGAACAATGCTTTGACAGACAGACACATCAGGTGTTTGAATTAGAGGACCAAATTACATTTACAGGCAAGTGGCATAATTGTAGCCAGAGAGTACTTTTAACAGAAGAAGTGCCTGTTTGGGTGGGTTATTGAAGGTTATGGCACTTCAGTAGCAAAGCCACTGGTTGTACCATATTGCAAACACAGTAGCCTGCTTTGGAGAAGGTGACAGTAAACAAGATGAACAGGCATCTGAATCCCCCATGGTTCAGGGGCAGGTGCTGGGGCATTTAAAGGCAGAGAAATGGTTAAAACACCTCTCTCCTGCGGTGCTGTTTCTCTAGTACTCCCAACTGCAGGCTCCCTGAACAGGTTTTTCCTGTTTCAAAAAGGGCCATCAGGCTACCACTACATGCATTTGTACATAACATGAAGTTCAGCTCTTCTGTTTATGACAAGTAAATGGCACTTGTTTGTTTTTACCATGAAGCATTCACAAGAAAAAGGGCTGGAAACTTTTGCTTGAAACTCACCAGATCGGGATTTAATGATGTTGCTAAACTCATTGCGCCCTCCATCTAGTCCTTCATCCAAAACCTTGGCCATCCTTTTTCCGCCCCAGCTTCAGAATTCCTGAGCAGAATTATTTAAAATCTTTGTCCACACAGCTCACACTCCAGCCTGCTTTTGAAGTAATACCTGAAACATAAACACACTCAAATAAATACATGTAAATAGTTTTTCTCAAGTAGAACTTTATACGTTATCGCTGTAACTATTTCAATACCTTCAATCCATGCCTCCTCATTTTTAAAACTGTGTAATTAAAAATCCTCATTTGCTGCTGCTCCTTTTAAGCCTTGGACTAGTTCCTTATCTTACAGATGCCCAAAGGTCAATTTACTCTGTAATCAGAGTCTATGGGAGGATAGACTCCAGGAGAGGATAAAAAAGGAAGACCTAAGGAGGCTGCTGACAAATTCTAGAACTCGAGCTTTTCAGTACTACCCACTTAATTACATGGTACCATGCTGTGCTTTCAGAGTGCTTTTTAAACTTAGTATCCATGACAGTGTGTGTGTATGGGCAAAGGTCAAGCAATATCTAGTAAGTCACAATCAAAATCCAATTAGCCTGCGTTATAAGGTTACTTACAGATATATTCCATACACAATCAAATGCAATTCAATCCTGTATTTGTTTACTGACAAGTCCTTCTGAATTTAGTGGGACTTTGCTTCAGGTAAATGTGTATAGGATTGCATCCTTACACTTTGTAAGAGCACAGTTCTCATCACTGCCTGCCACTTTAAAGAAATCCTGGCCCACAGACTTGAACACAGCTTGGGAGTGGCTGGGTTGACTTCCTTATTTATGTGGAAGGAAACAGTTTTCCAGCTGTTCCAAAGCCTGCCTGGATGAGACTGGTTAGCTCTCCGAAAGCTACAGGGAGGGGGAAGAGTTATTTGCCTCTTATATAGTTTAGCCATATAACATTTTAGGTGGAAGACAATGTAGTCTCTCAACATGAACCCTGTCTATTTTCTAACTTTTATTTCCTACAAAAAAGGAGATAATGATACTAATCTACTAAAGCCTCAATGCAGTATTAATACATTTTCCCACCATTCCCCAAGGGCTTAGAATTGTTTACAATATATCATCATTTATTTGTATTACAGCCACCTTCTAAGGTTCAATGGAGCTGAGAGATGGAATTTGCTGTAGGCCATCATGCAAGCAATAAGATAAAAAGAGGATGTGGACTTCAGCTTTCCAAGAGTATCACTCCATGAGTCTCTTGGGGGAAAGAAAAGAGACCAAATTATGTCATGAGTCTTGAGATGAGGAAATCTGCTCAGACTTTCACTCAACATGTGACTGCTTGAATTGCCAGGTACAACTGTCAAAGTCAAGTTTCACACGTAGAATGAGTTTGGATTCCATCCAGCCCAAACTCTCAGCCCTTCCCAGCTGTCCACACACACTATACGCACACTTAAACAACCACAGCATACGTAATCTGTTCATATTCTAGTTGCCTTTCAAAGGTACTTTTGCTACAATGACTTCTGCCCAGAAAATATTCTAGACCCCTTGCCTCAGAATCTGCTTGTATGCCCAAGTCCACACATCTTTCCAGATATTGCACACATTAATCTCAAGGGAAACGGCCAGTCCACTTCAGCAGAACCCTGAGCTTGCCTGAAGCAGGACAGCCAGTGCCTGCTCTCATCACATTCTGCTTCGAAGCAAAGCAAGCAAGGTTTTTTTTTAATTAGAAACAAATCCAAGTAAGTTAAAAACAACAACAACAGAAGTGAGGTCACTGTTCTCTTGCCTTAAAATAACCAGTGACTATTCCACAAGCTACTACATATGTGTCTGGAGGGAGTGTAAGGCAGATAAGGAAGAAGGTGGCAGCTGCCTTCCACCTCAAGTGGAAGCAACAGGTGGTTTCCCCTACTCATTTTACCCACCAATGCCTCCATGCATAGGTGGGCACAACCAGGGCCATCAAACCCACTAGCACTTCTTCACAGGAAAAGAATTAACTCTAGCCTAAGCCTCCTTTGATTCCCTTTCCACAAATTGCATGCAGGTAGTGAGATTTGTATCTCTGATAAGCTAATGAGAAATTTGTGTTTCATAGAAGCTTTGAGCGCGCCTAGAACTCCAAAGGTGAGCGAGACAAGCGACCATTTTGCGGAGCTTTTAAACCTGTACCTGCTCTTTTGGGAAGGAGGAGGCAAAGACAGTTAAAGAAAGTGGCACACACTTTCAGCGATTAAAGCCTCCTTGCACTGCAAGCATCCTACCACTGACAATCTAAGCTGGGCGCCCAGACCCACGTTCCAAATAGAATGGAAGGCTTTCCTGTATTATTATCCCATTCCAAAGAAGTTATCCGATGAAGCGGCCTCTCCGCCTCCAAAGCCTATGGCACACGACGAATTTGCCAACTCTTTTCAAGTGCTACTCTTTTTTTCTGGAAATAGATCAGTGAGTCCACTAATGCCACGTGTGGCACAAGAAAAGCAGGAGGAGCACCAAGGAATTGGGTGATCCCCTTCGTCTCCCATAAGGGGTGGTGGAGAGAGAGAGAGAGAGAGAGAGAGAGAGAGAAGGGGGTTTGCTACGACCTACGAGTCAGACTCCAATCCCCACGTGCATCCAGGTTCTTTGCAGAGTTTTGTCCCCAGCTGACTGCTCGTTTCCTGAGGAGAACTGCAACCCCTCACCAAACACCAGGCTTTGAAACTCTTGTCTGTCTGTGGTCTCCAATCCACCAGGCTCGCGGGGGGAGACGAGAGAGAGCTGCTGCCCTTTTGTCCTCCCCTGCGCGGAATCGCATTACGCTCTTCGGCGTCGTCAATTATTCACCAGCTTACCTGCTGGAAAGAAGCAGGAGGAGAGAAGCGCCGGCCAGATCCGCTGCTGCCCCGGCCAAGTCAAATCACAGGCTCCATTCCGCGCAGGGCTGCTGCTGCTGCTGCTGCTTTCTCACCCTCTCAAAGGGACAAAAGTAAAATGAAACCCAGCGCCGACAGCCTGAAGAAGTTGCTAAACCAAAACCCTCGGACCAAAAGAAAGTTTCGGCGTCCCAACTGCTCGCTCCGCGCCCCGAGGCTGCCTCTCGCTCCGCTCCTTGAGGCTGCCGGGGGAGGAGGAAGAGCCTCTCCCACCACCGCCCCCTCAGGGCGGACCCTCCCTCGCGCCCTCCTTCCCTCCCCGCCTCGGCTCCTCCTGGGGCCCCCGGGATTCCTCGCTCGCTAGGAGGGGAGGACGCGGCTGCGAAGGGCGGGCGATACAGCCAGCCTGACTCGCCTCTCGCCTCAGCCACTTGGGCAGCCTGCGCCCCTCCTGCAACTTGGAGTTTGCACGACGCCGCCTGGATAAGGACTCTCTCAGCGAACTTTTTTTCGCGGCGCCTGGAACTTTGTTCCTGGAACGCGCGCGCGCGCGCAACCACTCGCTCTGCCTCCCTCCCTCCTTCCTTCCCTCGTCGGAGCTGCAGCGCAGGCAGCGCCACACTCTAGCGCTGGGAACGCGGCGTGGCAGCGTCACGTGGCCTGCCACCCTGCCAATCAACTCGGACCCCCTTTCCTGTGCCTGGGGCGCCCGGCCGAGCGTGGGACTCTTCGACAGGAGGGCTCTAGGTTCGAGCCCCGCTCGGGGCAGAAGAGGCCTGCATTGCAGGGGGTTGGGCTAGATGACCCTCGTGGTGTACCGCCCTCCCAACGCTACAGTTTTATGATTCTAGGACCGCACTCGCCCAATGAGGTCGGTGTGTCACCTGCTACCCCGTCGGAGGAGAAACTCAAGATTGCCCAGAGCTGGAATCCTTTACTGCCTTTCCCTTAAAGGCACACCCCACCCCAAAGTTAAACTAAGAAATTGTGCAGCCAGGCCATAGACTAGCTTGCTCGGAAATGCGTGTCTCAATGTACTGGAAAGGGGATTCAGTCCATAGCTGGGTGTGTTTAGGATTGAGGCACTGAACTGGCATGTGCGATTGGAGGCCGCAGTCCTATGAAGGCTTGCTTACCAAAGAGTAAAGCCCCACTGAGCACAGTGGGCCATGTTTTCGAGGAAGCATGCATGGATCACAGCCACAGTGAGAGTTTACCTTGCAAAACCTTTGCTTGAAACACCAGATGCCCTTGTGCTTGCATATATATATAAATATATATATATATCCTGCCTTTCTCCCAGGTGGCTCACAGCATGAATTAAAACAAATACAACTAAAACACACACAATCTATGTATATATATATATATTTAAAGAAACAAATAACTATTAATAACAGCACTGAAAACACTTAAAACAATTTAAAAAGGAGGAAGAATGAGTAGTTGATATATAATAATTGGACAAATGAGAGCCAACAGAGTGTTCAATAATTGTCCTATCAAAACTTGATATTTTGAATCCTGTCAGATGAAACCACTAACCAAGGCCTATAACCACAGCTACATTGTAGCAATTGAAAGTTACTGTCTGCCCATGGTAAATTTAGTAATACAAAGTAGCAGACTTCATCTCCTAATGTTACTGTTGTTTACTACAACTTTTCAAAACACATTTTACAAAAGTTTGCAGTAGCAATTACATTGGCAGAAAATCTAAGTTGCCTGCTTCTGTGCTATTTGTTTGTTTTATCATTATATAAACCCCACCCCTCATTTAACAATCCTGGGGTGGGTTACACATAAATTCAGCCGCAACGTTATTCAATACAATATAGAATAACTGTTCTAAATGGGGTTGCACTTAAAGGAACAGGTACACAGTTTAGGAGTGCTCTTGAAACTGTGGAGGCCCAAGCTGGATAAAATGCTGAAGAATGCCTCTCACCAGCTTTGGCTGGTGCATCAGCTGCACCCTCCCAAAATCTGTTCCAGAGTGCTGGGGGAACTCTTAGAAAATGTTCAGGGGGAGGAAAGGCGGAGGACATTCTATGGTGCAAGGGAAAATTATTGTGGTCACCGAACGAGAGACTTAGTGCTATGTTGGATTCCACCCCATGAGCTTTTCAAGGCTCAGATGAATTCTATGGAATCAAACTTTTATCCAGATTTATTCAGAAAGTGATGTGTGTA